GATGAGCAAATGGTTAAGGCCTGGGTCTTGGGCAGGGTAGCACCATCCGTCAGCAAGTGTGTGAGTTGGTTTTGGAAGGGGGCAGACTGGGCAAGGCTGAGCAAACCATAGCCCACTGGCAAGTACAGAAACAAGGAGAGAATGGATCATGCTGGGCTAGCCTATAACACCTACTGGTTTAGACAAACCAGGGATGATTGCAGACTGAGCCAGTCTGGTTGCTGTACCCACCAGTGAGAGTTAGGACTAGGGGTTGGCTGGGCCAGGCCAGGCTGCAGCATCTGAAGGCAAAGGCCAAGACAGGGGAGGGGCTATGCCAAGCTGGGTCAGAGCAACCACTGGCATGCATGAAACCTGTAGCTGAGATCAGGCCTGCCTGGGAAGCTAAGGGAACACCCTAGCTGGGATGTGGGTTCCACTGGTGAGCACAGGAGCCGAGTTGGGGCTGCACTCTGGTTTGGACATGGCTGTAGTCTCCCTCAGGACAAGTGTGGACTGGTTCTGGGGTGTGCCAGACTGGCTAGACTCTAGCACCTACTGGTGATTGTGAGAACCAGGGTGGGTGTAGTACAGGCTGGGCTAGGCCTCTGCCCCTCCTGAGCTATGTGTGAGTTGTGTCCGGGTGTGGACTAGGCTTGGCTGGGCTACAATAGCGCCCAATAGTAAGAACCAGAATGAGGGAAGTCAGGAAAGGGTACTGTTCCTGCTAGGACAGGAGGTGAACTAAGTAGAGCTGGCCCACGGACCCACTGGTGTGTGCGAAATCTGGCATGGGAAAGGTTTCTGATGGAGGAACTTGGAGAACTCATCTGTAGGTACACAGTCTCTGCAGGTAAGCGTAAGAACCACAATAGAGAGCAGCCCAGACATGGCCGGGTTATGATACCCACAGGCTCACCTTTGGCTCAGGTCTGGGACAAGCCAGGCTGGGCTAGTTGATATCACCCACTGGCAAATTTGAAAGTCAGGGTGGTGTGTGGGGTCATGCCAGGATGGGCCACAATACCAACCAATTCACATTATGGTTTGGACATGGGGATAGATAAACCAGGCTAGGCTGTTGTTCCTACCAGTGCAAGATGAAACTGGGGACAGGGTGTTTGGCTCAGGTTATAGCACGCACTGGCAAATGCAGAGGTGAAGCAGGCCATGCCAGATTGGGCCACAATGTGTCCAACCAGCACAGGTGAGACCTGGGGGAGAATGGTAACCAAAGAGAGGGACTGTAGGGAACTCCCCTTTGGATCACTATTCCCACTGAAGAGTGTGAGAGCTGGGATGCGGGCAGATCAAGCTGGGCAGAGCTACAATACCTGTTGGCCTTCATGTAATCTTAATTGGTGACAAGCCAGAATGGAAGGACTGAATCCACTGTTACATGTATAAGCCAGAGTGGGTGAGGATTGGTTGGGCTTTGCCATAGCATCAGTTAGCAGATGCTGGCACAGGGGGCAAACTTTACCAAGCTAAACTGCAGTATCACCTGGAGAGTGCAAGAGACAGAAGTGGGAGTGAGTCCGTTGGGAAAACAATGGGCACCTCCCTCTTAGGTTGCCACTCTGACTGGCGAGCATGAGAACCAGGACTGGGACAGGCAGAGCTACATAGAGAGTGGCATCTGTTGGCACATGTGTGGGCTGGATAGTGGGGCTGGTTGGGTCGAACCAAGCTTCAGTGGCCATTGGTATGTATGAGAGTTGAATGGGATGTGGGACAGACAGGACAAGTCTGCTATACATACTGGCAAGCACAGGATCTAGGGCAGGGGCAGACCTGGTGGGGGATATTGTGGGTTGTTCTGACTAGGCTTCAGCTCCCATTGGTTTACATGGGGGCTAAGTGTGCAGTGGGCAGGATCAGACTGGACTGCAACACCCATTAGTTCATATAGAAGACAGGGCTGGAGGCAACTGAACCAACAATTGCAAAGAGCAGTTTGTGCAAGGCCAATTTGGACTATAGACTGTGCCGGATCTGTATTGACACACACACACAAATTCAGGTCTGGGATCACCTCAGATGAAGTTTCTTTGGGAATCCCCTCAACTGAAACACTGGACTCAGAACTCCAACCGTGGACAAAGTTGTAGGTTCTATGGTCTTAACATGTGTCAGAGCTGGGCCTCCTAAGTGGCTTAGATGGAGCAGTGCACAGCATAACCAAAAACACATGGAGGATGTGGCAGCACACTGGAGCTTGAAGAGGATACCAGCTATGATAACAGAGGATGGGGGACAGAACAAACCAATCAACTACCTCAGCCAAGTGTTGGAGTGAACACCTGGGCTAAAGGAGTCTCTAAGGTGGACTATGTCTACCAGTGGAGTCTAGAGGGATGTCATCGTGATTGGAGTGGAAAGGTCAGCAGCAATACAGAACTTTTGAACTATCAAAACCACCTGAGCAAGATTCTTGGAGAATGCCCTACATTAGAGACCCTGGGATGGTTGGGAGGCTGGGTGTGGCTTTTTCATTTATCTTTTCCCTCCCCCCAAGATACAAAAGGAAAGAAGAGAATGTGGAAACAATGGTCTCACCCACTTCCCTCTAGTCTTTGACATTTACACCCTAATCAAACATGTAAAAATTATCAAAAATCAAATTTATACAATTAAAAAATATATCATTTTTATTTGAAAGGCTGATTTAGAGAGAGATAGAGAATATGTTCCATCCGCTGGTTTGTTCCCAGTCAGCCACAATGTCCAAACTGGGCTGGTCTAAAGCCAGGAAGTGGGAGCTTATTCCAATCACATCCATGAGTACAGAGGCCCAAAGTCTTGGCTGTGCTCTCTGCTTTCCCAGGGCATTGGCAGGGAGATGGATCAGAAGTGGAACAGCCAGGACTTGAAATACTGCCCATAGGAGTTGCTGCTGCCACACAGGCTTAGCTTGCTCTGCCATGGTGCCAGCCCCAAGGCTTCGGAGTTTAAACATCTGTATGATGGGGCCAGTGCCTCCCCCTGTGGAACTGGCAACCCAAATGGGATCAGATTCAAGTCCTGGCCAGTCTATCTGTGATCTATCTCCCTACTTATGTTCCTGGGAAAGCAGTGAATGAGAGCCTAAGTGCTTGGTCCTCCAAACCCATGTGGGAGACCTAGAAGGTGGTCCCGGCTTGTGGCTTCGGACTGCCCAGTTCTGGATATTGTGGCCATTTCGGTCATGAAACAGCAAGTCTTTCTCTTTCTTTCACTCTCTCTCTGTGTCTTTCAAATAAAAATACACGAATCTTAAAAAACAAGCCCAATATCTGCATAAGTTTGATTTCCTGTTTCCAGTTCTCTAACAAAAATGTATCTTCTGGTTTAATTTGCAATAAGACCATATTTTTGGAGGGAGTAAGCAGTGTATGGGCACTGTATTCTTGGGCAAGCCTTTTGTACTAATTCCACATTAAGGATATTGGGTAAAGTGTGATTATCAAATGGGTAGAGACTAAGAAATGTTTTCCATATATCATCTCAAAGGATCTTAGTTCAAGAGGTTCTATTGGAAAAGGTCTGTTCTGGAAAGAGGAATTTGGCCAAGAATTTTGAGAATTTTGCATTAGTTTGATCACACACACACACACACACACACACATTGAACTTTTTTGACCCTTTGAAGATCAAGGTTTAGGAAACAGGAAATTTATATTGTCATAACTAGGCCTGAGAGCATTATTTTGCCTAACATGGGGAAAACTATTACTCTGAAATGCCCCAGGCAACTCAAATCTTGAGACTGTTTTGTTGAGGAGGACCCTGCAGGCTTTTATAGCCTTTTCTCTCTGGGTTAGAAACTCATTCCATGAAGCTATATGCAGAAACCTGGAGGTATTGAAGGCTGTTCCATTCTGGTAAAGTCTGCCAGTTTTCTAGATAAGTCCCTCCAGGTTGGATATGCTTTAATAAGAGTGAGGTTATTGGATGGGACTGGGGATTATTAGAAGTACAATGTTGCTGCTTGGATAGTCTTAATCCTTTTCCTGTGAAGCCTAGATACCAGATCTTCTAGGGAATCTCAACCAAAATGAGTAATACTGTGTAGGCATTTAATATCTTTCATTGTGCAACCTCCAGGAGAAAGAGTGTGCATTCCTTTTGGCACTACCTAGTGTGTGATTTTTATAGAATCCTTGATGTGAGGCTGTCTGCATCTTTGAGGGGACATACTGAGGAGAAGAGAGGTGGAAGACCCGTAAATCTATGGGAGTGAGAGATCATTACAAAAGCAATCCAAGAAGAAAGGGACAAAAAACACAGAGAGGATCTGAATTCTCAGTGCTGCTGTTCAAGGGGACGAGGTGTCAAAGCAATGGCGCTGGGAGCATCCCAGAGGTAAAATAATATACACATGAAGGGTTTCCATTTGGACTCAAACCCTCTTCCCTCATTCAGTTACTGACCCAATCCAAACCCCTCCTTTTGGACTCTTGGAGTCACCACTTATCCTGTGGTATCCTCTACCTAATTGAGTGAATTAATTAGCAGACATGGAACAACAACTATTGAGGGCATGGAGGAAATGGCCACATTTTGAAACAAATACCTACCAAGTGTGTTCTCTAGCTGGCCCTGTGAGGGTAGGTATTTCGAATTTTAGATCAACAGCACTGTGGATACCCACAGAGGCCAAGCCCACTTACTTCCTTGGGAAGCTTTGCTTCCCACAACCCTAAACAGCTGTTGGAATCCGAGGACCACCAAGGTCTGTGGCCTGAATCCCATCATGTGATTGGGTATGGAATGTGCAGTTTTGGGGAACTGGGACAATAGATTCCTCTGTTGAGGCTGGGGCCCACAGTAACTGTGGGAAAAGGATTACCCAGACACAGAGGTAAGAGGGTCTCTCAGCCTATTAAAGAATGTCACAAATAAAGGGCGGGGTAGGGCGGGGCACGCCGTTGCTAAGGTGCACTTGGCAAGGGGCTTCCATAACACTTTGGCTCCTGCTCAGGGTATGCCAGTGGTGCCCCTGCAGCCCAAGTCATAGTGTCCGGTAATCCCGATATACCATGACCCAGCTGTGCCTGTGGGTCCCATGGCTCCTCTTTGTGTGGCAACCTTTGTGGTCCACACAAACCTTTGTTTGCCAAGGTTTGGTCCAGGCCACCAAACCTTGGCAAACGACCCAGGACCCAGTCCAGCTGACTTTTGACTCCTCAGGGCTCTCAGAGTCCTCGGTTTCACACTTCTCTGATCACCCTCCTAGATCACCCGATGGCCTCACAGGGCCAGCAGATCCTGGGGCCTTTGATTACCTGGCCTCTTCTACTGCCTCACCAGCTTTGATCCTGCCTAAAGAGTTGACTGAGGGTTTGGTTCCATTCTTGGACTCGAATTCTGCTCAAGAGCTGCCCCCACAACCAGATCACCTTGAAGTTATGTATCAGGATCTGAATGACAAGCAACATTGGCAACAAAGGCTCCCTAATGTAGTTCACATGCCAGATGGAGATATGCCTCCTCGACTCAGGCATAAGATGGAAACTGCAGGTCTAGATCAGGCTGTGGATCAGTCATTTGAAACATTTGTTCCAACTCTAGATAGTCTGAGCTCAAAGGCAACCAAGTTGATTGTTTCACCTCTGAAGTTGAAGAAGGATCTAGCTCAGCATCAGCAACTTGCTGAGCTTGCTGGGATGCCAGGCCAATCTGCAAAGCCTCAGCGTCCAGAGCCAATTCTGCAGGATGATTATGAACATCCTAGCGTGGATACAGTTTATCCTGGCATCTTACCTCTGGAATTCCAGGTGAACCCACGTGAGCTGCGGGAGTCCTCTGAGCAAATGGAACCATCTCAATTTCAGCTAGAGGGCCACTCCTTTTCACTCCAACAAGAAGCCCCAGCTCAACATCTACAGCACCTTGAAAAGGAATACTATCCCTCAACTCAGGAGGAGGCCCCACCTCAAAAACAACAGGCCCCTGAGGAGGCAAAACTTTCTTTAACTCAACGGATGGCTTCAGCTCAGAATCAAGTTGTTCCTCAAGTTGGAGGTCAGTCATCAGTGCACCATGTAGTGAACGCTCCATCTCAAGGTCCAAAGGAAGATCTCCACTCAGATTTGCCCAGTGTCACAGCTAAACCAGCAGACACGGAGCTTACAGTAACACCAAAGGGATGTAAGGATGCTCATCCTATTCTAAACCAGCATCAGACCACAGCATATACTGAAGGGCACCATGAGGAGATGAAATCTTCCTCAAGTCAATCAAGAGCCCTGCATGCGACCCCACAGGTCCCTGAGTTGGTGAGATCTTCAACCCAGTCAGCGGGCCAAGTTGAAGTACTAAAGTCCCTGTTGGAGAAAATAGCTCCGACCCCTCTGGGTTTTGAGGCACAAGTTCAGCCTCAAAGTCAGGATCAAACTCATTATCATGTTCCCAATGTGACATTTAAGCCTACAGATATGGGGGTTCCCATAACTTCAGAGACTACCAAAAAAGTTGAATCTTCTTCAACCAAGAAAGTGATCTTAGCTCAGATTCTGCAAGTTACTATGGAGGGAAAACCTTCTCCCAGTAAAGGGAAGGTACTAGAGCATTATGCTGAGTCTCCTAAACAGGCTAACCTTTTAGATAAGCAAGAGGCCATAGCTCAGTCTCCAGGTCCTCCTGTGGACCCTAAATTTTTATTCAATGAGTACAAGCCACACATTCAGCATTCTGATTTATCTGGGAGGGTTGAACCTTTTGGAAAATACTTGGAAACCCCCACACAATCTGAAAAAAACCCTGAGAAAATCAAACTTCCAGACCAGCAGAAAATCTCAGAGGCAGTACCAGAGTTTGGCATCCAGAGTAAAGCTCAGAGTCTGCCAGGACATGGGGTGATGGTTCATTCCGCAGTACAACATCAGACTCATGATTATGACAGTCCCAATGTTGCAGGTAAGCCTGCAGAAGTGGAAGTTCTCATAACTACAAAACCTACCAGTAAGTTCAAATCTTCTCTAAACCAGCATGCAGTCCCTGTTCAGATTCTGGGAGCCCCAGTGCAAACAGGGCCTTCTGCCAGTCAACAGGAGAAGCCAGCCGGGCATGCCACGCCTCCTGTGGAGAGTGATCGTTCTTTAGCTCAACAGAGATACCCAACTCAGCCTCAAACTTCACCCGTGTACACCAAACTTTCTCCCAAAGAGCAGCAGGAGCTAGTTAAACCTACAGAGTTTCCTGAGCAGACTGAATCTTCTGCTAGCCAGATGGAAGCTCCAGCAAGGCCTTCAGAGCTCCCTGAGGAAGTCAAACTTCCAGCCCAAGAAGAGTCTCCAGCTCAAGCTTCAGAATCTCCTATCCAGAATATAGTTCAAGCTCCATTGAGTCAGGAGGAGACAGATGAACCTGCAAGTCAGGATCAAAATTATCATGATAACATCCCCAGTGTTACACTTAAACCTGTATTTATGCAAATTACCATAGCTTCAGAGCTGACTGAAAAGGGTGAAACTTCTCCAACCCATCAGGAACTGCCAGACCAGATTCTGGGAGCTCCTGTGGAAATGCAGGCTTCAGCCAAGGAGAATCCAATTGACTATAAGGAGTATCCTATGGAGACTGGCCGTTCTTTAGCTCAGCAGAGATACCCAACTCAGCCTCCTGGTCCTCCAGTGGGCACAGAAAGCTTACCCAATGAGTCAGAGCAGCCAGCCCCAACTTCTATGTCTCCTGAAGCAATTGAACTTCCTGCTAGCCAGATGGAAGCTCCAGCAAGGCCTTCAGAGCTCCCTGAGGAAGTCAAACTTCCAGCCCAAGAAGAGTCTCCAGCTCAAGCTTCAGAATCTCCTATCCAGAATATAGTTCAAGCTCCATTGAGTCAGGAGGAGACAGATGAACCTGCAAGTCAGGATCAAAATCATCATGATAACATCCCCAGTGTTACACTTAAACCTGTATTTATGCAAATTACCATAGCTTCAGAGCTGACCGAAAAGGTTGAAACTTCTCCAACCCATCAGGAACTGCCAGACCAGATTCTGGGAGCTCCTGTGGAAATGCAGGCTTCAGCCAGGGAGAATCCAGTTGACTTTGAGGAGTATCCTATGGAGACTGACCATTCTTTAGCTCAGCAGAGATACCCAACTCAGCCTCCTGGTCCTCCAGTGGGCACAGAAAGCTTACCCGATGAGTCAGAGCAGCCAGCCCCAACTTCTATGTCTCCTGAAGCAATTGAACTTCCTGCTAGCCAGATGGAAGCTCCAGCAAGGCCTTCAGAGCTCCCTGAGGAAGTCAAACTTCCAGCCCAAGAAGAGTCTCCAGCTCAAGCTTCAGAATCTCCTATCCAGAATATAGTTCAAGCTCCATTGAGTCAGGAGGAGACAGATGAACCTGCAAGTCAGGATCAAAATCATCAAGATAATCTTCCCAGTGTTACAATTAAACGTGTAGTTTGGCATATTACCATAGCTGCAGGGCCAACCCAAAAGGTTGAAACTTCTCCAACCCATCAGGACCTGCCAGACCAGATTCTGGGAGCTCCTTCAGAGATGGAGCCTTCTATCAATGAACAGGAGAAACCAGCTGAGTATGCAGAGTCTCCTGTGGATACTGAACCTTTTTCAGACCTCCCTGAGGCTTCAGCACAGCCTCCTGGCCCTTCGATGGACACTGGACCTTATCCAAGTGAGCAGGAACAGCCAGTGACACCTTCTGGGTTTTCTGAGGAAGTGGGACCTCCTGGAAGCCCGATAGAAACCCTAGCCCAGCCTTGGAAGCCCCTTGAGGAAACCGAACCTCCAGGCCCGCAAGAGGTCCTAGGCCAAGCTCCTCAGACTCTACCAGGTCATGAGGTAGCAAATGAAGATGCAAATCAAACTCATGGCAACCTACCCAGTGTTACAGTCGGAATTTCCTCATCCGCAGATGTGGAAATTATGATAGCTTCAGAGCCTACCCAAAAGGTTGAATCTTCTCCAACACAGCATGAGGTACCAGCTCAGAATCTGGGAGTGCCTGTGGAGACAAAACCTTCTGCCGATGAACAAGAGAAGCCAGGTGAGTATGCAGAGTCTTCTGTACAGGATAAACCTTTCCTGGACCAGCAGGAGGCCCCAACAGAGCCTCCTGCATCTTCTGTGGACACTGAACCCTATCTAAGTGACCAGAAGCTACCAATGAAGCCTCCTGCATCTTCTGAGGGGGCTGATGCATCTGGAAGCCAGCCGGGGACTGAACCCCAACCTTCTGAACCTGCTGATAAAATGGAACCTTCACCACCACCACCAAAGCAGGAACAACCTCAGTCTCCAGAGCATCAGAATGTGACCTCTTCACTCCCAGATTACTATGATGATTATGATTCAGTTTTGTCCAGTTTTGCTATTAATCCTGTATATATGCACCTTTCCAAAACATCGGCACCTACAACAGAAGTGGTGACTTCTCCAGTCAGAAATGAGACTATAGATGAGTTCTCAGTCCCATCGAATGAAGCAAATCCCGTAACCCATCTGGAGGTGCCGACTCTTCCCATAGAACATTCTAAAGCACTGAAAGTCTTGCCAATTCAGCAGGAGGCTGCAGCTCAACATCCAAAAGGTTTTCAGATTGAGAAATTGCTTTCATTCAAGCAGAAGGTCACAGCTGAGAATTTACCAACCCCCAAGAAGGTTGAAGATTCCCTGATGCAACCATCAGGGATCTTTAAAGAAGTTGCAGCTCAACCTCCAGAGAATCCCAACAAAATGGCTTCTCCTCCAATTCATAATCAATTTCAGCATCCAACATTGCACAGTATCCCCTTTGAACTTTCTAAGTTTGCAAATCAGTTTGAAATCTCAACCCGAAAAGATGCCCCAGCTCTGTTCACAAGGTCCTCTGTGCAGCCTGAGCCTTTGAAAGACCAGCTGCCAGATACAGCTCAGCAATCACCGGTTGATGCAGGGATTCCAACGCAGCCCAAAGAAATCATTGAGGATCCTTTTACAAGCAAGCAGGAGAGTTCAGCTCTGCCTCAAAAGCCCCCTGTGGCTGTTCAACAGTTAGCACACCAACAGGAACTTCCAATTCAGCCCTCCACATCCTCTGAGACTAGTGATATTTTTCCTTCACAGGATATGACATTTTCACCATTTGATCCAGAAATAACATTTAAAGGTCAGTATTTAAAGTCTTCTAAAACTACAGTGAAACATGTGGATTTTGAGCTTAACATAACTCCAAAGCCAACTTCAGCAGCTCCAACTCCTTCAGCTCAGCAGGGGAATCTTGCTCAACCTTCAGTTCCTACTGAAGAAGCTGAATTTTCTCCAACCAAGCTTGACCTTCTTTCCCAACCTTCAGAACTACCCCCAAAGGGAGAATCTTATCCATTGCAACAGGAGACTCTAGCTCAACCACCAAAGCCTTTTAAGCAGATTGAAGCATCTTCAGGATACCCTTCATGGCCTCTTGAGGCTAAGCCTTCTCCAACCCAGCCAGAGGGCTCATCTCAGCCTCTAGAATCACATAAAGAGACAGAACCAACTGTAGACCCCCGGGAGGCTGCAGTAACACTTTCAGAGGCTCGGAGGGAGGTGGAATCTTCTCTTCCTCAGCAAATGATCCCATATCATCCTGCAAAATTCCCATATCCAGTGCAGCAGGCAGCCCTAGCTCAGCATCCTGAGGTCTCTCTTATGGTGCAACCCTCTCCAGACCAACAGGTGGCTCCAGCTCCACCTCCAGAGCTCCCTGGAATGGAACTAGCTCCCATCCAGCAAGAAGCCACCGTTCAGCCTATAGAGCCACCCAGTAAGATGGCACCTTTTCCAGTCCCACAAGAGGCTCTATCTCAGATCCTAGAGCTTCTTGAGCAAGTGAAGTCATATCCAGCCCAGGAAAAACCCTCAGCTCAACTCCATGTTCCCATGAGAGTGGTTGAACATTCCCCAACACAACTGGTGGACCAAGCCCAGATTTTAGAGCCACCTAAAAAAGTTGTAGCTCAAGGCTCAGAATATCAGATGGCGATAGTTCCAACACAAGCTCAGGATCAAGCTCGGGATCTGAAATCACCCAGCATCACATTTCAACCTCTGCACGTGGAACTTACCATAGCTCCACAACCCATTATAGGTGGTGAACTTTCTCCAACTATGAAAGAAAAATCAACTTACTCTCCAGTACCACCAAAGGGAGTTGTATCTCAGGCTCCAGTATATCAGGAGCAGACAATTCAAACAGCCAGTCAAAATCAAGCTCAGAATCTCATGTTGTCTAACACTATGTATGAACCTTTGGAACTGAAGCTTACTGTTGCTTCAGAACCCCCTGAATATTTGACAGTTCCAGGGACAACCACATCTCCAAAACTCCCTGAGGTGACAGGGAACCCAGAACAGGTTCAGACTCAACGCCCAAACCAGACTGAAGTCACAGTTGAACAATTTGACCTTGAACTTATCTATACTCCAAAACTCAGTACAGAGAATGAACCTTTGCCAACCAGGCAGGAGACACAAATTCAGCCTACAAAGCCTACACAGATTGTGCCTCAACTTCCAGCATATTATGAGATGACAGTTCAAACACCAGGACAGAACCAGGTTCAAATTCCAGTATCACCCAATATCACAGATCAGTTTTTAGACCTAACACCTTCTAATATTTCAGAACCCACTACCTCAGAGTCTGAACATTCTACAGGCCTGCAACAAGACAAGATTCAGACTCAGCGTTCAAATCTGACCGAAGTCACAGGGAAACCTTTGGACCTGGAAGTTATGATATCTTCTGCACTCAGTACGGTGGTTAAACCGTCTCCAACCACTCAGGAGACTCCAGCTCAGCCTCCTCGTGAAGTTGTAACCCAAGCTCCCATAAATCAGGAGGGACCATTTCCAACCCCAAGTCAGGATCAGCCTCAACAACTAGCATCAACCAATGTCACAGTTAAGCCTTTGGATGTAGACTTGGAAGTTACCATAACTCCAGAACCCAGTGTGGTGGTTGAACCTTCTCCAACCACTCAGGAGACTCCAGCTCAGCCTCCTACAGAAGTTGTAACCCAAGCTCCCATAAATCAGGAGGGAACAATTCCAACCCCAAGTCAGGATCAGCCTCAACAACTAGCATCAACCAATGTCACAGTTAAACCTTTGGAGGTAGACCTGGAAGTTACCATAACTCCAGAACCCAGTATGGTGGTTGAACCCTCTCCAACCACTCAGGAGACTCCAGCTCAGCCTCCTACGGAAGTTGTAACCCAAGCTCCCATAAATCAGGAGGGACGGTTTCCAACCCCAAGTCAGGATCAGCCTCAACAACTAGCATCAACCAATGTCACAGTTAAGCCTTTGGATGTAGACCTGGAAGTTACCATAACTCCAGAACCCAGTGTAGTGGTTGAACCCTCTCCAACCACTCAGGAAACTGTAACTCAGCCTCCTCGTGAAGTTGTAACCCAAGCTCCCATAAATCAGGAGGGACCATTTCCAACCCCAAGTCAGGATCAGCCTCAACAACTAGCATCAACCAATGTCACAGTTAAGCCTTTGGACGTAGACCTGGAAGTTACTATAACCCCAGAACCCAGTATGGTGGTTGAACCCTCTCCAACCACTCAGGAGACTCCAGCTCAGCCTCCTACAGAAGTTGTAACCCAAGCTCCCATAAATCAGGAGGGACCATTTCCAACCCCAAGTCAGGATCAGCCTCAACAACTAGCATCAACCAATGTCACAGTTAAGCCTTTGGATGTAGACTTGGAAGTTACCATAACTCCAGAACCTAGTATCTTGGTTGAACCTTCTCCAACCACTAAGGAGACTTCAATTCAGCCTCCTACGGAAGTTGTAACTCAAGCTCCCATAAATCAGGAGGGAACAATTCCAATCCCAAGTCAGGATCAGCCTCAACAGCTAGCATCAACCAATGTCACAGTTAAACCTTTGGATGTAGACCTGGAAGTTACCATAACTCCAGAACCCAGTGTGGTGGTTGAACCTTCTCCAACCACTAAGGAGACTTCAATGGAAGTAGTAACTCAAGCTCCCATAAATCAGGAGGGACCATTTCCAACCCCAAGTCAGGATCAGCCTCAACATCTAACCTCACTCAAGGTCACAGTTAAACCTTTGAATCTAGGGGAAACTGTGACTCCCAAACCCAGTATGGATGCTGAATATTTTACAGCCACGAAGAGTGCTGTAACATCAGTGCCAATTCACTCTGAGGTGGTAACTGCATATCCAGAACAATTTAAGACTCAGTATCCAAACAAGACTGGAGTCACAGTTAAGCCTCTGGACTTGGAAATTCCACCACCTACTACAGACTTTAACCCTTCTGTGACTATGCAGGAGACTCCAGCTCAGCCAACAGAGGCACCTAAACAGGCTGGATCCCAATCCCCAGTGTATTATGGGATAACAGTTTCAACAGCAGGTCAGAATCAAGCTCAGCATCCAGTGCTGCCCAGCAGCACAGTTCAGCCTTCGAATCTGGAGCCTAACAAAATGCCAGTGCCTACTGCAGAGGCTGAACATTCCACATCCCTGAAGAAGATTACAGCTGCACGCGCAGACCAGGTTCAGACTCAGCACTCAAACTTTACTTCAGTCACAGGTCAACCTTCAAATCTGGAACTTAAAACTCAACCTTCTGTAAATTACATCCCAGTAAATACCTTGACTGTGCAAAAGGAAAAGACCACCTCACGGAATATCAACATTTGCAAGCTGTGTACCTGCAGAAATGAGACATTGTTATGTACTGGGCTCAGCCCAAGTCAGAAGCTCCACCAAGTGCCTGTGCCAGCTCCCAACACCTACAATGGCACCTTCACCATCTTGTAAGACCTGCCCTTCCTCTTAGTTCCTTACATGCTTCCTGTCAGCCTTTTCTTCAGGATCTTCCCGTGCCTTCCTTGTGTCCACAATCTACATTGCCTTTCTATTTTGATCCTTTGCTTCTCAACTCTCCCTATCCTCTTTCTCCTCCTTATTCTTGTGCTCCTTCTCCAGTCTCACTGTGATTGGCCTTGCTCCTTTCCTGATCCATTTTTTAAAAGATTCATTTATTTTTATTGAACGTAGTTATGCAGAGGAGAGGAGAGAGAAAGTTCTGTCCATTGATTCACTCCGCAAGCAGCCATAATGGCCTGAGCTGCACTGATCCAAAGCCAGGAGCCCGGAACCTCTTCTAGGTCTCCCTCTTGGGTGCATGGTCCTAAGGCTTTAATGTAATATCATTAATGAGTTCTAAATATATAAACATATTTAAAAGATTTACAGGAAGAGTGATAGTGAGATCTAGAGAGAGAGAGAGAGAGAGAGAGAGATGTCTTCCATTGTCTAGCTCACTTCCCAGATGGCCATCACAGCCAGGGATGAACTAAGCTAAAGCCAGAAGTTTCTTCTGGCCTCCTTTATGGGCAAATGGGCCCAACAACTTGAGCCTTCCTCTCCTGCATTCCCAGGCCATTAGCAGGGAGTTGGAGTAGCAACCAAATGTTTGGTTACACCACACAGCCGGACCCTAGAGAAAGATTCTTAATTCAGAGAGACCAAATAGAAAAACTCCATGAAAATCTAGCACTAAAGTGAGAATGGAGCTAAATGTAAGTTGCTCTGATGGAAATGGAAAGTTTTAGGAGAGGACAGAGAAAGGTCAAATCTCATGACTGAGCAGAGATGTGGGGTGGAGTGTCTAGAAAAGAAAAGCACTTGGTGTCACAGTTTATCATGGATGATGGTGAGAATGATGGTGCTCTAACAGGAGGAAGTGAGCAATCAGAAAGGAGAAACAAGTGGAGGGAGATGTGTTCAGGTTTAGACACTTTTTATTGGTGAGCATAAAGCAGACAAATGCTTATGAATGAGTGCCAGGCCCTCTACACTACCACTTCACTGGCTGTGCAAACCAGCAATCTGAGAGACCTGGACATTGAAAAGCTGGTGATAATTTCCATATTCCAACAGCCCTATGAGGTTGTCAGAAATCTTTTCCTTGTTCTCCTCATTCTTCAATTCATGGATATGAACTCTTTGTTTACAGAAATTTCCAGAAAAACTTTATTTCCTACATTGATGAAAATGTATGGAAATCATATCCTTGGGCTGAGAAAATGTGAGTATATTCTCTTTAACTATGGTTACCAACAACAAAAACCTGACAGCCTCATAAGCTCTTTCTTGATCTAGAATTTGGAGGTTAATACCTCTAAGAAAAGCCATTTCCTTTTCATGACAAAAATCAGTATCCATTGATTATAGTTTGATAGTTGCTCCAATCATAGAATTTGAATTGAGTCAATTTAAATTTATTTTCTATAATTTAAGTCCTATGTGATTCTTTCTGGTGGATAAAAAAATGAAAATAAAGAGATAGGAAAACCTTCCTTATACCATAACTCTCTACCTCTCAGGTAAGCACTGCTTGTGACTTTAGTACATGCCTTTTGAGTTCTTTTATCTTGCATTTGCCTACATACATGTTTACATTTAACAAAATAAGCTTGTTGTATGGCTGGATATACACATATGTACTTATTGTGCCTAAATAATTACACCTTGTAACTTGATTCCTTAACTTCATGATGTGTCCTGGGATTCTTTCCTCCCTACACTTGGAGGACTAGCTTTTTCCTATAAGTTACTGCATAATATTCCCCAATATGTCTCTATCATAGTTTAATAATTCCCCTATTGATGGATTTTTAGATTATATTAAAATTTTCATGCACAATTGCAGCACACATTTCTTTGTGATTATGGAAAAGCATTTTGTAGAGTGAAATCTAAAAATGGGATTGCTGGGGTAAAGACCAATCAGATATACTTTTAAATGTCATCAAAGTTGTGTGCCAGCTTACCATTCAGTCAGCAGACCATAGCATCATTTACTCCCATGGCATCAATCAGTTCCCATCACCTTCTCACCACTGGATTCTCTCCATTGCTTTGCTTAAGGCAAGTGAATAAAAGAGGACTCATCAGAATTCAGATTGTTCTGATTACCCATGAATTTAAATATCTTTAAAATGTTTACTGAACACTTATGTTTCATTAAGGTTTCTGCCCTTTGTCTATCTTCCTGTTGTTTCATCATTTTCCTGTTTGTAGAAGCAATTGGTTTACATATACTTTAGAAAATATTTCTTGTTTTTCCTATTTATTTATTTAAATAAGGCATCTTTACAAAGAAAGATACAGGGAGAAAGATCTTCCAGCTGTTAGCTCACTCCCCAAATGGTTACAATGGCCAGAGCTTAGATGATCTGAAACCAGGAACCTGGAGCTTCTTCTGGGTCTCCCACATGGGTGCACAGGCCCGAGGAAATGGGACATTCTCCACAGCTTTCCCAGGCCATAAACAGGAAACTGGATTAGAAGTGGAGGAGCTGAGACACAAACCAGCACCCATATGGGATCCTGGTGCATGCAAGGTGAGGACTTTAGTCACTTACTAGGCTACTGCACTCTGCCAAACTCTTTTTATTTTCATTTTTTTACATTTATTAACTGTATTAAGCATAAGGAAAAGTCTGAATAAAGGCTGAACAATTCAACCAAAACTGAAGAGTTATTCTTGATGCTTTCATTATTCCTTTGTAAATACACTAAATGCAGATGTGGTAGATTTTTAGGCTGATATTTTGATTCATTCAAATTAGTCAAAGCCCTTTGCTTGTTTTTGGAAATTCCAGAGAGTACAATTTAATGCCATTCATAACATAGTATTTTCAGCAAAAGGAATTAATAAAGCAATAAAAAATCAGAAGCAAGATGGCTTAGAAAGCCTTATAATCTCTAAGCATACACGTATTTATATCCTGTCTCTAGTTTCCAAAAAAAAGTTATAGTAATGTTAATATAATCAATGAAAAAAAAACTTCTATCAAAATCTACAATTTCAATTACAGACTAGAAGGCTAAGATTAAAAAAAAAAAAACAGCTGTAAGCCAAAAGTTTGCTTTTCTGGATGAGAAGCCTCACCCCTTTGAAGCACAAAACATGAAAGTTTAGAAGAGATGGATGTGTGACCTTCTTCAATGGTCAGGCTCCTGATAAATTCATACAGCTTGAGTCTCAGTCTTTGTATCAACGTATATCCGTGTTTCTTAGTCCAGATTTCCAGAAAAGAGGGAACCAAGACATTCAGAATCTCAAGTGGGATTTATGCCTCACCATGTATCTATCCAGTATCTATCCCAGAACCTCAAGAAAGCAGGTCTATCCAAATGACGTTGATGGTAGCTGAGTTCTAATACTGTTACATCCCATTTCTGAATGTTTGGATCTAAATGAACTTCATCATACTTGAGATGGAAGGCTTTAATTTTGACAAATGTGTCAACTGGTGATCTATCAGGCAAAAGCCGCAGCCAACCTTTGAACGGCCAAGCAGGACCTTGCACAAAAATTGCCACAACCTGATCCCAATCTTGAGGCAAAAGTTTAAGGAGTTGATTTATTACCATATAAGGTACTGTGGCACTAATTGTGGTGCCGCTTGGTTGCATTTGGTCTTTTCTTCTCTGAATTTGAGTTTTTCTTGTTGACAATCCTGTTTCTTCTTTACATCTGATGAGACCGATTTTAAATCCTGTAAAGGCTTTTTGCATTACACATGGTTACTAAAGAAGTGGTAGCTGTGGGAATTATGATGATGGGTGTTTGAGAACTTTTTTTTCTGATTTGGAGAAGGTCTTGCTTATGAAACTGGTCTTGGTATGGCTGTGCTGCACGAGTCTGAGTCTTGCAGGCAGATGCACCCTCCTGCAAGAGTTTCAGTCTCATAACTTGGTAGGTGTCCACAGTGTCAATTCTGAAGCCTTCTGTTTCTTCTTTTCCTTTGAATCTCTGCTGATCATATCTGTTGTATGCAGCCGGGTTAGGCAGTTTCATACACAATGTGGGATCCACTGGGGCTGCATTTGGAGCTGGTCACTGTTCAGGTACCCACCCTTCTCTATCACAGACTGAAGAATTGCAAAAAGATTCTCCGAAAAGTTATTTCCTGTGCTCTGCAAGATCGTTGTCCATTCATCCACATGCTGACAATACCTCAGGTCACATCTACCTCAGCATCTACAAAACTCCCCTGGTTAATGTCAGTGACATCATCATCCAGATCAGTGTTGACAGCAGACTGTTTCTTAACCATAAGTTTGGCTTTCATTGCACAATATTTTCTACTGACATGGCTTCAGATAAAGACCTAATCTGTTCAGTCTGTACAGTTCCTTCTTTATGACCCTCCAAACGAGCAGCCAGTCTCTGATTATCAAGATGTACACATTCTTCAGTACGCATTCAATTCGTGGTTTCTTGACTTCTGCTAGAACTCCATCTGCAGCTCGTTTAGCTTGAGTAGGTGGCTGCAGCCCTATCTGCAGAGGGCGCTTCTACAATACTTGCACATGTTGATGCTTCCCCATTAAGATAACTAAGCAGATCTTGGCAGTCAGGACTTCTAACCACAGGACTATTTCCAGTAGCTGCATGGTGGACATAAACGGGATGAGAAAGGTGCACATGTTCAACAGGAACAGGATGAAGTCCAAAATGTGGTACTCTGTTGGCTGGCCTTTCTTCTCAGTCCCCCACGCCACATAGTTGGTCTTGATGTTCTTTGGCAGGAGAACTCCCCGAAGACGACTTCTTCCCCCTTGACCATGATCTCCTTGTTTTGGATGTTGTACTGTCACAAGTTGCTGATCACATCTGCCATCTTCCCTGCCTTGCTGCCGCTGTAGCAGGCTCCCCCAACTCTACCTTTCACATAAGAGTAAATAAATCCTTTTTTTTTTTTAAAATAAAACACAAAACAAACTAACCCTAGGAAAAGGGATTATGAAAATGGATACCTCATATGTTCAGAGGAAAATTGCTACAAGTCATTCATAAATTATGAATCTCTTAAGTATGATACATAGTTTATATTACCTTATTCATTTCTTCTTTAGAGATTTTTGTTTCCCCAAATTGTAAGAGAAATGAAACTCATTTCATAGGAAAACAAATTTGTTTTCTCTGGGTTATGGAAATGAGGGTGGTAAAGATGGCTGAGAGGAAAAATAATTTTAATCAACTTTATTTGTGAGACCTAGAGCTGGGAGGATTGAGAGACAGGGTTAAGGGCCATGGGAAATGAGTGAGCTCCCATCACTGATCTCTTTCCAAATGTCTTCAATGGCCAGGACTGCATCTAGTGAAGCTGAGAGCCTAAAACTCATTCCAGGTCTCCTCATGAGATGCAGGGATGCAACGATTCAGTCATTATTATTTCTCCTTGTGTCTACATTAGCTTGAAGGCAACATGGCTACTTGGGCCTTCTATGGTGAGGTTTAGGTTTAGCAAAAGACTGGAGAAGATGGCAGTTCTGCCAATCTTGATGCCTCCCAGAATTATTGTGATCTGCAGAGTAGATATTAAATATATGACTTGGTGGGAAGGGTGGGTAGGTGTGTGTGTGTGTTTAGAAATGGAATGAATGAAGAAAAGTTACAAATAAAAATAGAATCTGCAGCATCAACTTGAAATTAGAATGAAGCTACTACCTAAGTGACACGGTTTCTGAGGTCACCTCCACCTATGGAGTAATTCCTATGTAGCAAAAAGTTGTCCTTGGTTTGCTTTTATTTCTTGAAATAACCTTTTCATTTTCTAGAATTCTCAGTGATAATCGTTTGACTGAATTACATAAGGATTCATTTGAAGGCTTGATATCACTGCAGTATCTGTAAGTTTATGTGATTTTTTTTAATTTATGAGATTATGGTTATCTGTAAAATAAATAAGGGTTCAAACCAGATAATCTCTAGAGTTTCTTCTAGTAATACAATTCTGCAATTCTAGAAGTCTGAGTATGGTCTAATACACTGAATGCCTCCTATGCAGTTTGCATTTAAAAAATTATATAGACAAGACCCAGATAGGAAACTTCACTTACACAGGAGAGTGGTGATAAGATCAGATTCATTATAGACACACAACGGACTTTGGTACATCATGTTTATATTCTATTTGCTTACATTTGTATTTAATCCATACCTCATGAATCAAATCCTGTCCAGGTCTGAGTATAAATGATTTCCCATTTACAAAGAGCCAGAAAAGGAAAAAAAGCACCAGCAAAAGAGGAACAAGGTAGAAAATGCAATTCAGACTGTATGTGATCCACCAAGCCTCAAACATTTACCATCTGACCTTTATGGAAAAATATTTTACAAAGCTGATTCAGAAGATTTAGTAGAAGAAAGGGAATTAAAGATGACCCTAGATATTTGCCTAAAGGAATTGAAATATAGACCACTAACATGAATGTGAATTCTATGAATTCAAAACTGCTTGATAATTTAACCTGAATTAGACTAAGTACTAAATAGCAAAACAGAGAAATAACAGAAAAATAGTATAGGGGACAGGGAATTTGGAGAGGGGGTAGGGGAAATCCCAGAGCATATAGAACTGTATCTTAGAAATAATAAATGGGAGAAAAGAAGAATTAATATCATCAATAATTTTAAAATACCAGGAGGATAGATTGGGATTTGTGTTTCAATGCAGAAATTGTTACACTGGATTTTAGAAAACATGTTTAAAATGACGATGAAGTAGTATAGAGGTAGACAATCATTAATCCTTCTTAGGCTAATTATTGGTACTCATTAGCATATATAATTCATATGACATATTTGTGTCATTCTATTCATTGTATGAGGCATAAGACCAAACCCTCTAGGCCGTAAGGGGACAGCCACTTCTGTACTGGAAGTCTTGGGTACCTTTACACTCTGGGCAAACACAGTCTGGAGAGAAAGAAATGAGAAAACTGCTCAGTATTGCTTCTACCCGGACAGCCTTTGTAAGCTGACTGCATGATAGCCTATATATTTGCATCCTTCCTTTGTTTCGTTTTCCTTCTTTCCTTCCTTCCTTCTTTCCTTCCTTCCTTCCTTCCTTGCTTCTTTCCTTCTTTCCATCCTTTCTTTTTTCCTTTCTTCCTTCCTTCCTTCCTTCCTTCCTTCCTTCCTTCTTTCCTTTCTTCCTTCTTTCCTTCCTTCCTTTTTTCCTTTCTTCTTTCCTTCCTTCCTTCCTTCCTTGATACAATTCCATAGGCTTGGGAATTTCCCCTTCCCCACCCAATTCCTCTCCTTCCCACTGATTTCCCCTATATTATTACAATAGTATGTCCTTCAAAAACAGTCTTACGTTCATCATTCTGATGGTTTAGTGTATCCTGCCATTGTAAGTATAGACAATGACAGAAAGTTCAGCATTCTAATGTCAAGATTTATTTAATAGTCTCAGTGGGAGTCTATCTTTGATTTGGAAGTATAGATGCATACTGCAATGTATGTTCACTTCTCGATATGATAGTCTATTGTATAGTCCCTCTTGCTGACTATATGTTCATGCATGTTTACCTCTGTATCTATTGATCTTGTATTATTCACATCACTGTAAGAGCCAATCAGATTTAAAATGTGAAAGAGAATGCCAAGCATGCTACTTAATTTTTGAGGTGCAAAAATGTGTAAGGCAGGATTCTTACCCTTCTAGGAGCTCATAATCTAACAGGGAAAACAAGCACATAGATCAAACATGCTCAACAAGCACTACGTAGATGACAATGCTCTGCAGGGTCATGGAGTTCTACAACCACATCCTCTAAAACTAGTCACCTTCTTCATTCTTCTACTCACTCCACAGCTACTCACTTATTTCATAAATATCTTTGTTTGCTTGGTTTCCATGAGCCAGTTTTATTTATTTTTAAAAATATTTATTTGAAAGAAGAGCAACAGAGAGATAGAAGAAAGGTAGAGATGAGAGAGATAAGACAGGGAGACAGTGAGATCGTCCATGCTCTGGCACACTGCCCAAAGGTCTTTAAGAGCCAGTAATGGTGCAGATCAAAGCCAGGAGCCAGGAACTCCATCCTTGTCTTCTACATGGATGGCTGCTTTCCCGGATACATTAGCAGTGAGCTGATCAGAAGCAGAGCAGCTGGGACTTGAACAGGCATGGTGGTTTAACCCACTGTCTACAATGCTAGTCCTCCCTACCTCCATGAGTGAGTTTTCAACTTGGTGGTCAATGCAGATGAACAAGACCAAGTCCATGTTTTTCAAGGAGTTTATGCTTTGAAGAAATGGGAAGAGACAAGGGTAATAGTGTTAAGAAGAAATGGATATACACACTGAGAGACGTAAACTATCTCTGGATTACAGAAGAGGGAAGAGAGGTTCTAATCAATTCCTGTTATCAGAAAATTTTGCCCTCCAAATCTATCAAGACTTTAATTATATATGTTACTTGTGAAGAGCATGAAGGTGAGCCTATTATAGAAAGTTGCAAGTAGGATTAGAGGTTCTGGAAACTTCAGACAGAAATCCAAGGTTTAGCATTCAGACAAAAGCACAGAAGCCATATTCTCAGTTCTAAGTCCTGTTTTTTTTCCTGCTAATTAGAGATCTAAAGTAGATAATCAAGGCAATATTTCCTTTTCTTTTCCCTAGGGATTTATCCTGTAACAACATACAGTCTATTGAAAGACATACATTTGAACCACTACCTTTCTTGCAGTTTTTGTAAGTTATAATTTCATTGCATTTGGAATTATGATAGATGTTTTATCTAAGACAGACTTACAGAGAGAGAGAGAGAGAGATCAAGAGACACAGAGAGAGAGATCACGCACGTGAGAGAGAGAGATCTTCTATCTGCTGGTTCGCTGCCAAAAAGGCCATAATTGCCAGGACTGGGTCAAATTGAAGCGAGGAGCTAGGAGTTTCATCAGGTCTCCCAAGTGGGTGCAGAGGTCCCCAAGCACTTGGGCCATCTTCCACTACTTTCTCAGGCAAATTAACAGGAAGTTAGCTTACTAGCGGAGCATCCGGGATTCAAACTGCATCTCAGGTGGCAGTTCAACTACCTGTGGTGCACAGTGTTGGACTCAAAACAATCCTAAATATAGCCCACTTGTTATTTATTTTGAAGTATGATTAAAATTCTGCTTGTAGAAAGTTAACTAGAATTATACAGCCAACCTTTCAGTCCCTAGCAAAGATACTCCAAGACACCCAGGTCAGAGTGGGTTATCACAGAACTGTGCCTCTCCACTGCTATGATTCTGTGCCAGGTGCTATCCGGCAGCTGTGCACATGCCGCTGGTAGCTGGTGGGCCAGGGCCAGGGTGCTGCAAAATGAATTGCCATGAGTTCTTGTAGAACAAGTACCATGTAAGGGACGGATACCCACAACAAAGAATTACCCAGCTCAAAATGTCTAAAGGGCTCAAGTTGTGAAACCTTGTTCTAGAGAGAGGAAATGAAGATCACTGAGCACAAGTATTTGTCGCGTGTGGTTTGGTGTACCTAATGCACCGCCTGTGTAAATGTGAAAGTGTTAAGTCAGAAGCCAGAGTCTTCCAACTGGGAAGTCTTGAGTGTGTGGAGGTGATGTTTCACCTGTACAAATTAGGACCACTGCTGAATGATGAATGTTTACAAAGAATAACTCTCTGCTTCTTGATTTATGCTTTCTTATAGAAATCTTGGTTGCAATTTACTCACAGAACTGAGCTTTGGCACATTTCAGGCATGGCATGGGATGCAGTTTTTGCAGAAGTTGTAAGTGAAATATAAGACAAACACATTTTAAACAGCTGCATATGTGTAAAAACCTATAATTATCGTTAGCTGAGAGTAAGCTATGCCCTATAATCCACTCATTTTTTTTTCCAATTTGGGGAAACCAAGGTACAAAGAGGCTGACAAGTCTGTGTGACAGCTGACATGCCATCTTCTCCCTAGTGTTGATCATGGTCTTGACAAAGGAGGCATTAATGAGCAAGCACCACTCCAGTTTCCATGGCCCTGAGGGCCCCCGTGATTCACCCCCTGAGCCCCTCACTCAAACCCAAAGTGAACTCTGAAACTGAGTTTTAAAACCACAGAGTAGGTGCATGAGCTATTGCAAAGTCAGGCTTAGAGGAGAATCTTCATTGTGAATCTAAACAGGCCATGACCATCAAAGAATAAAAAACCCCATATTTCCTTGACATGCATCCAGAATGTGTGTGGAATCAGAAATACAGCAATGTGTTTTCTTACTGTTTTTCACACCACAGCTTAACATAAACAACACCCTTGTCTACTTCAAAGGTTCCCACTGTGCACAGGTAACTCATCACTTCAGAGATAAATACTTGAAAAATCATGATCTGGATGAGTGGGAGGAAGAAGTGCCTTGACTCTGACCATATGGTAACTAGGATCAGTTTGTCTGAGGAACTGTCAGTCTCTTTTCCACACTGGCTACATTACTTGACAATCCCCACTTGCCTAGTAGTAGGGTTCCAGTTCTTCAAAATATGTCAACATTTGTTTTTTTGATTTAGCCTCCTAGCAAGTGATTAAAGTAGCATCTTATTGTAGTTTTCACTTGCGTTTCTAATGACTTAAGACATTGAATGTCTTTTCATGTATATGGGCAATATATGTCTTCTTTAAATGTTTATTCAAATTCTTTCCCCATTTAAAAAAATTGCTTTCCTTTTCACTGAGTTGTAAGAGTTCCTTATATAGTCTGGACATTCTGGATACTAATCCTGTATCAGAGAGATGATTTATAAATCTTTCCTCCCATACTGTGACTTGCCTTTATGATTTTTTTAAAAAGAATTTATCTATTTTTGTTGGAAAGTCAGGTTTGCAGAGAGAAGTAGAGACAGCAAGGAAGTTCTTCCATCTGCTGGTTCACTTCCCAAATGACTTACAATGGCCAGAGCTGAGTTGATCTGAAGCCAGGAGCCAGGAGCTTCTTCCTGGTCTCACCTGTGGGTGCAGGGTCCCAAAGCTTTGGACCGTCCTCCAGTGCTTTCCCAGGCCACAAACAGGGAGCTGGAAGGGAAGTGGAGCAGCCAGGACACAAACTGGTGCTCCTATGGGATGTCATTACATTGAAAGCAAAGATTTTAGCCAATTAGCCATAGTGCTGGGCCTTGTCTTTGTGCCTTTTTAAGCAAATTAATTTACTTTCATTTTATTTGAAAAGTAGAGAGGTAGACAGGATTTTGTACTTCCCCAATGGCTACAATAGCCTAGTCTGGGTCAGGCCAAAGCGGGGAGTCTAAAACTCAATAGAGATCTCTCTGAGTGGGTACCAGGGACCCAAATATTTGAGACATCACCTGCTGCCTCAGCTTGCACACTAGTGGAAAGATGGATTCAAAATGGAGTAGAACCGGGCACTCTGATATGAGATGCAGTCATCCCAAACAGCAACTCAACTGTTGCGCTAAACACCTGCCCTCACATTCTTGCGTGTCTTTTGAGATATTCAAGTTTTGAGAAACTCAAATTATTTATTCCTTTGGTTGTTTACACTATCTAGCATCACATCTATGGACTTGGCACCTAATCTAAAGTCATGGTGTTTTGACTTGCTAGGCCAAACAACCAATCCCTTCCAAGGGTGTTGACTAAAAAGTTCTTTGGAAGAGTTTTTCTTTGCTGTTCATTTGCAGTTTTGTTTTCTTTTTCTCTTCTGTGTCTTCCAGTGACCCATGTAGCTCCCCAAGAATGCTTTAGAAATTATAAGGCTGATTTATAGATGAAGATAGAAAATGATTTTAAGTTCCATAACTACATATATATAGACAATTGCCACTGTGCATACTTAAAAGGCTCATCATTTTAATTCCACTGTGCTTTTTCAGAAATCTCAGTCATAATCCTCTAACAATTGTTGAAGATCCCTACCTGTTTGAATTACCAGCATTGAAATATTTGTAAGTATTCATCTCATGAGTCAGATGATTTCTACTCTTTATTCTCATAAAGGCTAATTATTTTACATTGAATTAGAAAATAATAACTTTAACTATGTTATTGAAAAATAAGTTACTGACCAAAAAAGGCTGTATAATGGGCAAGACAGCCAGGGGAGACATTGTGCTGGTCAACACATTTAGATATGGGACATGTGGATATAAGTGGGAATAGCATTGATCCCAGAAAACAAAGAGATATAAGTACACATCATTGTTAAAAGAGAAAAAAAAGTAATTAATTAAGAGAGATAAATGAAATATAAACATGAAATTAAGATAATGGTTAAAGTTTAGGGTTAGGGTCCTTAATGACTTAATAATGCACGTGGTGAAACTTCTTTAAGAGCTCTCTGGAATTATCTTGCATGACAAACTCTTGAGTAAGTTTGTTTTAAAAGACCCAAAAGCTGATGTATACACCTGTCTTGAAATGAACCTACTGAAGACAGAACTTTTCAATGGGGATCATATCATGAATGTTTGGTCTCTCTCCTTCAGAGATGTCGGCAGAACACTTGTGTCACTCAACACAATCGAGAACATCCTCATGATGACTCTCAAATTGCAACAGCTGTAAGTTATTTTTCTCTTAGTATTTTCATATGTTTTATAGATTGGTCGTGTTAATTTTCTTATATGTTAATTTATTTGAAAGGCAGAATGAAAGAGAGATGCGGAGAGAGATCTTCCTTCACTCCCCAAATATTGTAGTAGCCAGGGCTTGGCCATGTAGAAGTCAGGACTCATCCGGGTCTCCTATATGGATAGCAGGGACCCACTGCCTTTCCAGATACATTAGTCAGAAGTTGGATCAGAAGCAGTGAAGCCAGGACTTGAAATAGCATTCTCATATGGGACAAAGTTGTGCCAAAAGGCAACTTAACCCACAGCACCCCAATGCCCACTCTATGTTTTTTTATTTTAAGTCAGGCTTATTTGAGACATAATTTTCCTGTAATAATATTCATACAAGTAAGTATGCAATCTGATGAGCTCTGACAAATATGTTTATGTAACCAGCACCAAATTCCCAACATAGAACATTTCTAGTGCTTCTGAAAGGTCGCCCATAGTCTTTTGCAGTTAATCATCTCCACCTAACCCAGGCCCTACAAACCACCCATCTTATTGCCACCCATCGGGTTTTAACTTCCCCATAAAGCCTTGAAAGTGAAGTCAAGCACTGTGTGTCTCCTGTTGTGTCTGGCTTCTTTCACATAGCACATTCCTTTTGGGATTATGCTATTAATCCATGTTATTGCCTCTATCAGCAGTGCTTCTGCCAAGTAAAATTGCCCAGCTCTGTGGAAATACCAGTTTGTTTACCCATTCTTCAGTTTATGGACATCTGATTTTTCCCCCAATATTTTTTGCAACTACAGGTGAAACTAAAAACATTCACAGGAAGATCTCTGTGTGAACATGCTTTCATTTCTTTGGAGTAAATGCTTAGGGATGACATTGCTGTATGAACTGCTAACAATTCATTAACGAATTGTTGGAGAAACAGCTAAACTGCTTCCTAAAATGTCTGGGCATTTTGCCTTGTCAGCAGCAGAGCCAGGAGTTGTAATTGTTCCATATTGTATCCTGACCCTTATCTTAGAAACGCTCTAAGGGGTGTCATTAAGCACACTGCCTAAAGATGCTACTTGTGCATTCATATCCAACATGCAAGTGACAAATTCAAGTTCTGGCTCCTCTTTCCAATCTAGCCACTTACTAATAAACACTCTGGCAGGCAGCAGATGATGGCTTATGTATTGGGGTCCTTGCCACCCATGTGGAAAACCTGGATGGAATTTTGGGCTCCTCGATATGGCCCAGTCCAGCCTTGACTTGCAGACATTTGAGAAGTGAATCAGTGGGTGGAAGAGCTCTCTTTTCTGTCACTCTGACTTTCAAATCTACAAGAATAATAAATAAAACATGTTTTTATTCTATTAGGAGGTACTTATAATAGCTTGTCCTCTCTGCCCCTCCATCTCTATATGTAACTCTGCATTTCAAATAAATAAATACAACTTTAAAAGAAAGAGAGAGACACAGAGTGAGAGAGACAGAAAAAGAGAAACAGAGAGAACCCCCTGTAGCTGGCAGGGTAGCATAACAGGCAGTCCTTCACCTGTATTGCTAGCATCCCATATGGATGCTGGTTTGTTTCCTGACTCCAGGGGTTTGGGTTCAGCCCAGCCCATCCCGGCTCCAGCTGTTGCAGCCATGTAGGGAGTGAATTAATGAATAGAAGACCTCTCTATCTTCTATATGCCGATTCACTCTCCAAATGGCCATAACAGATTGAGTGGAGCCAATGTCAAGCCAGGAGCCAGCCAGGAGCTTCTTCCAGGTCTCGCATGTGGGTGCAGGGGCCCAGAGCTTTGGACCATCTGATACTGCTTTCCCAGGCCACAAGCCGGGAGGTGGATGGGATGTGGATTAGAAGTGGAGCAGCCGCAATATGAACCCGTGCCGACGTGGGATCTCACTGAAGGAATATGCTGCTGCTAGTTAGGATTACACAAGGCAAAAATGGAAGAAGACCCCTTATGTAGCACCTTGTTCTAATCATCTGTCAGGCCACCTCTTTGACTAACTTTCCCACACTGTCAAATCCACTGGTTGCTGCTCTACTTTCTTCTTCCTCAACTCTTGGCTACAACAACCACGATTGATGCCTCCCATGTCAGCAAGATGTGTTCCTGTCTAGATAGCCAAAGTTCTCATCATCAACAAGCTTTCTCAAATTAGCCAAGGCAGTGGTGGTCTAGCTGGTTTTACTCTTGGCCGTTAGTGGGTGGGAAAGCGTTATCATTCTCTGTAGCTATTTGCCACCATGGTGATAGTTTTAAGCTCCTAGCACACTGGAGTTCATTGTTGGACACCCTCGGGACTTTAGACGTTTTTATACCAAGCAGGACAAGTTCATTTGAGTCCTGGCTCATGTGTAATGCTCTTTAATGCAATAATGAAAAATAATTATTCTCCAGTAAGGATAATATATAAAAGATTTGCAGTCTTAAAGCTTTGCTGGTATACTTTCAAAGAATACTTTTAATGTGTCATTACTAAGTCATTTTATTAAGTATCAAAAATGACAGTATTCCTTATATGAGTTCTTACTAGAAGCTTTCTCTAGTAATTACATGCAGGATGCTCTTATAAAACCAAACCAGACTGAAGTACAGACCATATAATAATTAGCTTGAGCGCTTCAAAAATGTCAATGCCATGAAAGATTTCAAAAGCACAGCAAAGGGTGGACATTGTGCTGCAATGGGTTAAGCCATCCCCTTGGGCACTCACATTCCATGTAAGAGCACAGGTTCAAGTCCCAGCTGCTCTGTTTCTGATTCAGCTCTCTACTAGTGCACCTGGGAAGCAGCAAGTGATGACTTAGATGGGACACCTGGATAGAGATCCTGGCTCCGGGATTCAGCCTGTCCTAGTCCCAACTTTGGTGGCATTTGGGAGAGTGGATCAATGGATAGGAGATAGCTTTCTCTCTTTTCTTTGTCACTTTGCATTCCAAATAAATAAAACTCTTTTAAAATAATAAACCACAGGGACCAGTTATAAATCAAAGAAAACTAAAGAAGTATGATGTTTGATTGGAGTCTATACTTGAAACAAACAAAAAGCCAAGAGCTGGTCAGGACAATTAAGGACATTTTTATATGGACTACAGTAGCCAATATTAAAAGTGATTAAATGGTGATAGTATTATGGATATGTAGAAGACTGTCTTGGTTCTTTGGGGTGTACATGGAAGCACTTAGCAGGAAAAGGTAATCGTGTATAGCTTACTGTCAAAGCATATGGGCATACAAACATGGAAAGTAAGTGTGGCAAAGTGTTCACAACTACTGAGTCTAAGTAAAGGATAGAAGTTCATGATAGCCTCCTTTGGGGGGTTTTGTAGATTTGAAGTTTTTCAAAATAAAAGCACCCTAGGAGGACACAGGTAACAGCTGAAGTGCTTGAGTCCCTCTCATCCCATATAGATGCCTATACAGATTCCCAGCTCCTAAGTTTGGCCTGGGCAAGTCCCAAGTGTCATCAGGTATTTGGGGAATGAATCAGTGAATTAAGATCTCTGTAACTTAAACTTTTTTTTTTCTATCACCTTTGAATAATCGTGTAGTCTTTGTACAGACCTAACACTTCTATTTCTCTTGAGTATTTACCCATAAATGGGATGGTGGGGAAATACGGTAGTTTTATATTTCAGTTTGTAAGAAACTATTAAAATACTTTCCATCTAAAGCTTTTTTTTTTTTTTTTTTAATACCTGGCACTGCAGAAATGCAGTTGAGCCACAGGATGCAAAGTCAGCATTGATTCTGAGCTCTAGTTTGAATCTGGGCTCTGCTTCTGATTCAGCTCCCTACCAGTATGCCTGAAAAGCAGCAGAACATAGTGCAAGTGCTTGGGTCCCTGCCTCTCATGTGGGAGACCAAGATGGAGTTCCAGGTACCTGGCCTCCTCCTGGATGAGACCCAGACAATGCTGCCATTTGGGAAGTGAATCAGAGAGTGGAAGATCTCTCTTCTCCCCACTCTCTGTAGCTGAGGCAGAAGCAGACAACAGATGAGACCTTTCATCTGTGCTAATTCAGCCCCCAACTGCAGCTAGGACAGGCAGAAGCCAGGAGCCCAGAACTCAACCTGGGTCTCTCCTGTGGTTGGCAGTGCAGCCTCACAGGTTGTTGATTGTAAGAAGCTGGAATTGGAAGTACAACCAGAACTAGAATCCAGGGATTCCAGTATGGCACATACGCGTTCCAGCAGTATGCTTACCACTGGGCCAACCACCTGTCCCATCAAACTGTTTTCACTCCCATTCGTGGTGCCTGAGGGGTCCATTCCCTCCATATCTTTTCCAACAGTTCCTTTGGTCAGTCTTTTTCTGTACCCAGAGCAATTTCTAATATTAGCTACTCACAACAGCAATTGAGATAGGGACCTCAGAAGATGGGGGGGGTGGTCCTTACTCAGACTCTTAAATGTTGGTCTTCCTTCTGTGTACTCCAACCCAAAGTGAGATCATGTGTATAGCTTACTGTGTGAGCTGGGAGGAGACACTCCTGAGTGAGGCTACCGGTCCGTGGCCCCCCAGTTATAACCCCTGGCACCTTTATCCAGGGCATACCACACCCACTGCCTCACTTAGCTTTCTGTTGGGCACCTCTGCCTCCTTCCCATATTTGCAACACTTAAGAGCAGCACTTGGTCATCAGGTTCCTACCCAACAGGCCTGGCCACATACCTCAAGAAGTCCTTTCTCACAGCCTTGGCCTGCCTCTTCACCTACTCAAGTAACCCTTTAACAATTAACTGAATTCTGTTTCTATTTGTAGGATCTTACCTAGCCATATGGCCTGCTGCCTGTGCAAATTTAAAAATGACATTGAGGTTGTCTGCCAAACAATCAAGCTGCACTGTGGCAATGCATGTCTGAGAAACAGTACACACTGTGGTGAGTCCAATTGCCTGATACAATTTAATGTTTTCCATTCATTTGTTTTTCTTATTTTTAAGTTGAATATGTTTAAATAATGTAATTGCTTTGTTTTTTCTTCATTCCGGGTTAAACTCTCTCAATTTCATAATTACTCCCTTGGTGAAAGTCAGGTTCCTAGTTACTATTACCAAATTTGATGCTCTAACTGTTCCATGTGCATAAGAATCACAGGAAAGAAATGGAAGGGACGGGCTTAACGCTGAGGGCCACATGGTGCACTGTGCCCTCAGCTTGATGCTTTGCCTCCATGAGCACTCATTTGTGCACTGCACCACAGTGTGTAGCCTGCTTTTATACACAGTAGGCCTCCAGTGCCTCTGCCCTAGAGAACAGGTGTAGAACATTGTTGTTTGGCTTGTTTCTGCAATTGTGGAAAAGAGTACAAGTGACACTGCTTTATTCTGAGCCTGGGAATTGGTTCCAAAGCCAGGGATGGCTGCCTGGCTCCTCTGATGCAGTGGAAGGCCCTTCTTCCCATAGACAGTCCAGTTCTGAACCTGCTCCAAGGCTCGAGCTTCTCCATGGGCAAAACCCAGGGGCTTTGAAGTGGTTTTCTGTGCGTGATGGTTACAACCACTAACACTGGGACTTCCAGCTATGGCTGCTTTCTGCCCGAGAGAACTTGAATCCACATCTCTGTCAGCATCTGGGGCACTAGCACTCTACCCGTTGTGTACGCATACAGATAGGGTTCCTAACTTTCCAGCACAGTTTTGATTAGTTTTGTTTTGCCTATTATATTGTTCCTCCCTTCTGCAGAAACAGGCAGAACAAGCACTTTTAGTGTGCTTTTGCAAATGAGGAAAAAATGTGACCCAGGGCATTAAGCATGAGAGGCTGGCACCCAGGTCTTTTGTTCCCAGTTTTGGGGTTTCCACAGCCATATGTTCATCTGTTTGTTGTGGGTGTGATCTGGTTAGCTTTGGCCCAAGTTCTTCTGTCAATAACAAGAAGGAATTCAAGGAAGAAATGTGGATGAAAGCAGGAAAGCAATATTTTCTTAAACAAAAGTAAAATTTACAGTCAAGAAGTAAGTGCCAGAAATGAAAGTGAGCGATCTTGAGAATGAATCCCCAACAAGGCTTGGGCCATCCTTTCATGCTCCTTGGTGTTGGGTATGATATCAGCGAGGAGCCTGTTGAGTATTCAGAGGACATGGAGCCTGAGCTGGGACTTGAGGACCACCCATTGCTGTGCCCCTTTCGGGAAATCTTGAGAGTGTCATTGCATCAGGTGTGTCCTGGGAGCAAGAATGCTGGCCATGATTAATGTTATTCTAGTGACATTTTTAGAATGATCTAAAGGTCATCACAGGATACAGCCTGCAACCCTGCTGGGTGTTTCCACCTATTGCTATTTCTACGTGTGCAACTTTTTGTGACTTGTGGTTCTCACCATTCAGAAGGCAGGTCAGGGGGCACAGTGAAGCATTCTGGCTGGTGCCCAATGGGTGGTGTTCTGCATGGGGGCTGGCTGTTGGTAGTGTGACGGCCAGCCTTAGCTTCTGCAGGTCCCACAGCAGGTCAGCCAGGGCAGGGTAGTACTGTCCAGCCTCCACTCCTCTCTGCTAGCTCTTCACTGGCCCCACAACATTTCCCCGTGATTCCTGCTTCCTCCTCTCACTCTCACTGCAGGGCCTGGGGGAGAAGCCCAGCCACACAACAGCACACATGACCTTCCTGCACTTGGAAGCTTGAGGGCATCCCTAAATCAAGCTGGAAATACTAGAAGTGAAGGCAGAAACAGGCATCTACAAAAGCAGCTTCTATTTCTGCCTGCATTTTAGGGCCTAGAACAGTGTTGACCCAAATACTACTACTGCCCCCTAGAGAGCTCCCTGAGCATTCTGTGTATGCCTACCACCTGGCAACCTACAAATCACTCCACCTGCATCACCTGCCCAGATTTAAAGAACCAGGGTGGATGTAGTAGTGTTTTTCTCTGAGTGGAATCCTTTGTGGTGAGCACTAGGAAACATTGAGCAGGGACCAGCAACTGGTGCCTTGGTGGAAAAGGACACATCCAGATGAAGAGTAGGCCCCTGTTTTAGCATCTATATCCTCAGTCCCCTCACATGAATGTGTCTGGCCATGGTCACCTGTTGACAGCAGCAAGAAGGCAAGGTTGCTGGAGAGGGGGAGAGGAAGCCTTGTGCTCCCTGGGTGTCTGAGGCAGGACGGTGCAGAATGTGTCGGTGAGGCAGGCACTTCCACACAGGGGCCAGCTGCATGGAGACCGTCTCCCAGCCTTGGGCTTTTACTGGGCACTGGGCAGTTGGCCACTGGGGATACAGCTACTGCTTTTCCACACCATGGACTCTTCTGAGGGTTACTCTTTCAAACAACTCTCTCCTGTTGTTGCTGCCATCTCATGGGCTTATGTTTGGGTTTACTTTTCCTCTGTACATGGCACCCACATATTGGTGACTTTTAACTGTTGGGGATAGATGACTGTACACTGACATAAAGCTGTTCCATCAGGGTCATGTTCTCAAAAGCACTGTCTCCTTTTTAACAGTTGAAGAAGCTTTTATAAGGAATCCAAAAGGAATGTTCCTGAAGGCACTGCAGGCCCGGAAGAGGAACACTAGCACTGAATTGATTATTGAGCCAGAGGCGCAAGAGTCACAAACACTCAATTTGAATGTTCCAGACTTTGCGAACGAGATGCTAGACTTTAAAGATGAAAGCGAAATCATTAGTGCACTAAATTATATACTGCCTTATTTGTCAGATGGCAATCTAGGAAATATTAAAACGCTATTGCCATTCATTACACGACCTTTTTCAAAAGTACGTGATAGAGATAAATTCGTTGGTTTCCTGAAAACCAAGAAAAGGAGCCCCTCTCTTAAACCAATATACAAGAATTCAGCTTACAAAAGTAAGTTGAGGAGGCTGCGCTTTCTGCAAAATATATTATATGCAAAAATCCAAGAAAAAGTTGATGAGATTAAACAAAGAGAAAACACTGCCATGCAAATACAGCCTGTCTTGTTAGATCCCAAATTTAAACGCCACATCTTTCTAAAGAAACTGGAAATGGCCCACTCACAGCAGCACCACCTGGCGCCCACCCCAAGCACAAGGCAAAGATTACAAAGAGTGAAAAAAGTCATCAAGGGGCCAAAGGGCCTAAGAAAAAGGCAGCAGCTTGAGACAATCAGGAGACAGAGAGTGCGCCCCCTTGTGGAGGGCCGGCTGGGGAGCACAGGAGCCAGGGAGCAGGAGGAGCTTCATGTGGTCCAGACGCCCTGGAAGCTGGTGGCCAACTCCTTCTACCCAGAGCCCCCACTCACAGAAGAGCACAACGCCAAGGCCACCTCTTCCCTAAAGCAGTACATCATGGGCAAGCCAACTGCTGCAGCCCGTGCAAAGTCCCTCCCTGAGGGCAGAAACAAAGAAAAAGACTTAACCTACACCATGCTTACTTTAGAAGACACAAAGGCTAGCGCAAAAAAGACAGAGGCAGCAGAACCCAGCTCATATTCTAGGGTGAATTACCATTTACATAAAATGTATCCTCATCCTGTCTTCAGAACACCCAAGGCCAAACTCAGGCAAGCATTCAGGAGGAAAACTCCCCTCAGCGCCAAGATGTCAGTAAGAGGGCCTCCATTCCTTGCACTGCGGAGTCTCATCAACTCCCCTCCCCAAGAGCCTTCCCCATCTTCTCCAGACCTGAGTTCTCAGGGAAGTCCTTCTGTGGAGGTAATTGCTCATCCAGTATCTGTTACAGAAGGTGTTTCTGAAGACAACAATACTGCAGAAGATGACTTAGGAAACTCTTTGGCACATGACATGGTTCTGCCAGAAGATATGCCCCCTGATGACACAACGCAGGGGCATCCTTCAGTGGCAGGCTCCCCTAGGACTACACTCAACTCCATGCTGACCGCTAAGCAGACAAGCAAAAGGCAACAGGAGTACCCCAAAACGGGCACGAACATCCCCTCCCCGCCCACAGGCATCACTTACCCCTTGCAGACATCCTCAAGGGATGAGTCTGAACTTCAGCTAAACCAGCAACTACGGTCCCTCATCCCCAACAATGACATGAGAAAGTTCATTTCATATGTTATCAGGACTCTGAAAATGGACTGCTCTGAGCCCTATGTGCAACTGTGCTGTGCCAAGCTCATCTCCAGAACGGGCCTCCTCATGAAGCTCCTCAGTGAGCAGCAGGAAGTAAAGCTGGCCAAGGCAGAATGGGATACAGACCAATGGAAAATGGAGAACTACATCAATGAGAGCCTAGAAGCTCAGAGTGATGCAAAAACGACTGAGTCAAGTGAGGTGAGGACAGGTGCTGAGATAGGAGACCTGCCCTTTCCTGTCCTTTAGGAAGTGCCATTGAAGCAGCAAGCAGGAAGAACAGGGGCTCCTAGTCCATATCGTGTCGTGGGCACGTAACTTTGGCCATGATGGTAACTCCCCACTTTGCTCCTACAGAGAGTGAAGCAGATCTAACATCAGGACAAATAAACTGTAGAAGAAAATGTGTAATAATATTATATAATGCCTTAGTTTGGCATGGCCTTTAAGATCCTATAAGCCAGTTACCAGGAAGAATAGAATTGAGAATAGTTAATACCTTACATTTCTAAATCTTGTTTTTCTAAATTGTTCTTTTTGTTAGCTCACAGAGGAGGAGGTTCCAGGATACGGCTATAACAAAAAACTCATCTTGGTGCTATCTGTGGTTTCAATAGTGGTGGTCTTCGCTATCATTTTCTTTTTCATTAAGGTAAGCACAATAGTTAATTCAGGTTTCCAGAACCCTCCCTGTCTTTGCAATTTACCCAGAGGCTACAACCTGAAAAGCAAAGCCACTTGCCCACTTGTCCACATCTTCCTCCTGCTTCTTCTCCTTTTTCTTCTTCTCCCTACTCCTCCTCCTCCTTCTTTTAAGGTTTCCTTTATTTGAAAGGTAGAGTTACAAGCAGGGAGGCACAGAAAGAGAGAAAGAGAGAGACAGAGATCTTCGATCTGCTGGTTTACTCCCCAAATGGTCCCAATAGCCTGAGCTAGGCTGGTCTGAGGCTAGGAGCATGGGCTTTCCTTCAGGCAAAGCATGCAGCTGTAGGTACCCAAAGACTTGCTTTTCCATGCCAGTAACTGTGAGATGGATAGGAGGTGGGCAGCTGGAACTCAAAGCAGCACCCATAGAAGATGTCAGGACCAAAGATGAAGGCTCAGCCTGATACACCAAAGAACTGGACCATTGTCCACATACTTTTTCAGTAACTAAAACTCAGATGTGCTTTGTTCTTTTACTGAAATGTATTTACCAGAGATTTCTGAAAGGACCTCTCTGCCAGGAGATCTCCATGCAGTTGAAGTCAAGGGAATAAGTCATCAGACAATTTTGATAAGTTTAAGAGAGCCAATATTTTCTTTAAGAAAGGGCAGGCACTGTGGTGCAGTGGGCTAAGCCACTTCTTGAGGGACCCGTATCCCATGTCAAAGTGCTAATCCAAGTCCTGGCTACTCTGTTTTCAATCCAACTTCTCGACAACGCTTCTGGGAGGGCAGCAGCTGATGGCCCAAGCACTTGCACTCCTGCCACCATGCAGGAGACCTGGAAGTAGTTCTTGCCTCCTAGCTTCTGTCGCACTGAACTCTAGCTGTTGAAGCCATTTGGGGAGTGAGCCAGTGAATAGAAGTCTCTCTCTCTCTCTTTCTCTCTCTCTCTCTCCCTGTCTCCCCCACATCTCCTCACTCTGCCTTTCAAATAAATAAGCCATTAAAAAGGTCAGCATTAATATAATAACAAAATTTCTCCAAGTCAAAGCTATATCAACGACTTGATGTAATCACAATGCCTTATATTCTAACACTGATTTTATTCCCTCACTGCTGAAATGATATACAGTTTCCTCCCTCAAGAAATGTCACTGTCCTCAGGCCACTGCCAGAAGACAGAAATATTAGAGTCATTAGACCCCCATAGCATCCTTCTGCTCCACTGTATAAGGTCCTGTCTAAATAGGTTCAGTTAACGTATGGCAGTTGAATTCTGCATCAGGCTGTTCTAAACCCATACCCCATTCTGGGAGCAAGCCTCTATTTATCTTTTTTAATGTTATATAATGTGCTTGAATATTGGGAGTAGTTTAATCTTGACTCTACCCTATTAAGCCAGCCTAACTATATCCACCTTTTCGACTGTCATTGTAGCCCCTCATCATACCTCAGCCAACCTATGCTCCTTCCTACTTCACCTGTGCCTTTGCCCATCTCAAATGCCTTTATTTCACTGGGTGCCTTGATTACTCCAGTCCTCTTGGACCTAGACCTTCTGTCAGATTTACCACCTATCCATGAGGCCATAAAGAGGTGTTTCCTCTTCCCTGAGAACTTAGAAACATGACACATTTTTAAAAATCGAGGTGCCAAGCTCAACCTATAATGCAGCACAGCAAAGGTATTTAAACATCTGAGGGCTTCTATAAGCCTCCAACAACACTTGGTTGAATGTATGACTGTGTCTAAATGCAGACATGCCAGCCACAGAAGGATGGTGACAACAGTACAGAAAAGATGAGGAGACTCAGCACGGGCAGAGCCCATCCTAACACTGCATAAGAGCAGATGTGAAATCATTTCAGTGGCCAAACCTTGCCTCTGAAGGAGATGGACAAATCCCACCACCTCAGGGTTTGTGGGTTTTCGCAGATTCATTATCTCTTCTTCCCAAGTAGCTTTCTGATTGGCAGTGCCCAGGAAAGCTGCTATGGTGTGTGTACTGATCTCTTGACTTGGTGCCTGGCCACTTCTCTCAACTCTCATATTACTTTTCACCAGGTTTGTTGATTCTCTTGGGCTTTTCAGGCTGGCCATCATTTCACATGCAAATGAGTGTTTTTGCAATACTCACACCCATTTATTTCCCTATTGCACTGACTGGGGCCTGCTCAAAAATGGTGAATAATAGCAATCCTAATAAACACCCCATTCTTGATCTTGACTTTGAAACAACACTTTTGTTTAGGTTTCTAATCATACTTTTATCAAATTAAGGATGTTTCCTTTTTTCCTTGAGAATTATCTGTTTCTATTATCTAAAGCAGCCAAGAAATGTATTAAGTCCTAAATGTATGCATGACTCTAAACTAGGTGCAGGGAAGACTCAAAGAGCTATTAACAGCATAGAATTCCTATCCTCAAATAAGTTTTCATCTCAATGCGTAGAAAGACTTAAAGGAATGTAAAGGATTCAGAGATTGTGATGGGTAACAATGATGGCGTCTTCTTCCAAAACAGAATTACCCTCGTGCTTGTAGGAGAGCAGCAGAGGATGATATAGAAAACTATCCAAGGTAAGTACCAGCCTGCAACTTTTAAATCAGAATTTTGGGATTAGAGGAGGAGAACTTAGAATACTTATTATATAATGAGGAAATCGCCAGAGGCAGGAGCAAGCTCGGTCACCCAAGCTGGTACCCAGTCACAGCTGAGGTAGACAGTACCACCATGGCACCTCTGCTGTCCCCAGTTCTTCTGGGATGCAGGGGCTGGGGAGCAGCACCAGCTGTGCCATCCCTGCTGTTTTCAGCCATCTGGCCAGACCTAGGCCTTCAGACAAGGGCTGGGGAGGCTGTATGGCACTGGACAGGTGAGGGGGAGAGTGTGGCTGGTCTCCTTCCAGGCTGCTGGAAAGGAGCATGCACAGTCCTTCCTCAGGCTGCAGGAACACTTCCTTCTCCTCCCACTGGTCTTAGACCCCCTTTCTCGAGTCCTCTCACCAAACCTCTTAGAGCTTTAACTGGAGAGACCTTCAGATAGTAGTGTGTCTCTTCCTTTTAGGAGAGGAAACAGAAGGAGGAAAGGACAGTATCTTGCCCCATGGTCACACCTCTAGTAGAAAGGAAGGTTCTTTCCCAGCTGGGGCTTCTCTGGCTTACAGGGATTTGGGCTGTGTGCTACATGTTCTGTCAGAAATGAGTACGCACATGGTTTGTGGACATAAACAGTGGCTGAAACAACACACTCTTTTCTGTAATGCTTGGATTCATAAGGGGTATCTTGGTGTCAGTGCTAGCTGAATCCTTTATCTGATTTCACCACTCACTCTCCCATCAGTGACACCTGCAGTGTGAGGCTGTATGAATTAGGTAACTTTGCTTTTGGACTCAGGCCCTGCCTGATGTGATGCAGTTTACAGGGGTCAAGGCCTATGCACACAGAGGCATCTTCTCCCTCATCCCCAGGGGAGGGAGGCATGTGAGATTCAGTCTAGGGGGGAGGCTGGAGTCATACTTCAGGAGGGAGACAGTGCATGTGCCCCATGTGGCTGTGCAGTCGCTCACTGCACAAGGGCACTTGGGGAAGGCAGTTGTTGGGCTGACAACCTCACACAAAGCAATGGTCAGAGTTGGTCCTTAGCCACAGCGGCACCTTCAGGCAGACACGGAGAGTTCCCAGAAGCCCAGATCCCAGGTCTGAGGTGATTTTGCTTTGTGGTAACTGCGGAGGAAGGCTACATTCTGTCCCGGGCACACCAGAGATGCACACCGGGTGAGGTGGGGAATGGCACCAGTCTCTGCTTGTCTTGTGCATGTGTTTTCCTACAGGGGCTTTTTTGAACATTCGTCTAGGAAGTTCACGGACAATGAGACCCAGGTAATTCTGAGGGGATGCAGGTGTGGCTGGAGGAAGCAGCGGGGAAGTGAGATTAACATTTTCCTCCCCTTTCCCAGGAGGGCTTTTTCTGGCTGAGGTGGCCACTCTGGCTAAGGGATATGTACAAACCTCTTAATGCTGCACGCCAGAAAGAGATGGCTCGGAAGCTCCATGACAAGGAGTCCTCTGAGGAAGATGAGATGTTCCAAAAGAATGCAGGGTAATGATGCACTGCCTTCACCCTATTATCTAACGGGAGCAGTTGAGGTGAGCAGAGAGGTACTAGTGGCCTGTTCTGTTCCCCACAGCATGGTGAGTGAAGGCCCAGGTGAGATGGCGCACACGGAGTCGGCTGCCGAAGGAGAAAGTGAAGCCCCCGAGGAGGAGCACACAGAGTGACCCCTTCCGTTGTGGCTGCCCGTGGGTTATATCCTAATCTGCTTCTGACTTAGTTAAGAAAATATATTGTCTTGTATTCAAGTGTGTGATATTCATAAGCAGTCCCAGCCAAGGTGGTAAGAAATGAAAGTGGAAGAGATCCCATCTCTATTGTTAGTGGTCTACTTGTGGCCTGCCTCGTCAGCCTTTAAACATAGAACATCTTCCGCACAGGCTCCTTCTACAGAAACTGACCTGGTAGACACAGTCAAGCCAGTCTTGCCCAACCTCTCTTCTCTGAAAGCTAAGGGGATTCAATATGCTGTTTGATCGTTCTGCTTATAAAGGTCCCCCCGACCCCCGCGTGCCACCCATAGAAAAGATTTTATATGCACAATTTGGTGCTGCTATCCCATTTCTACGACAGGAATTAAGAAATTTTGTGCTCAGGAAAATCTAAGGCTATATTGGCATGACAATCATTGTGGTAGCAAGAAGACTTGGTGTCCAGAGCCCAAGTCCCTAACCACAACCTGGGCATTGGAAATTAAATCAATGTACCCAGTCTGTCACAGGTTCTCAAAGCTATACCTCCCCTTCTGTCAGATAATTACTGGCTATCTGGTGTTCAGTAGCAACACTGGAACATTTGTTCTCTGAGTCTCTGCATCCAAGCTTTCAGCAGTGGCTCTGCCAGTTCTGCCACTGGGTCAGTCAAGAGATTCTCAAGCTATGGACCAGGGCTGCAGGCACCGGCTAACTTGACTGAGGCTGGTGGATCTGGAGGGCAAGCTGGTCATTGGAGGGAGGCCTAGGTTCCTCCCAGTATGGGGCTGTCCACATGCTGCCTGGTGGGAGGTCTCCACCTCACGATGACTGAAGTTCTCTAAAGTGATCTGAAGAGAGAGATGGAGAACACGTGACCCAGCCCCAGGAGCACAGAGCATTGCTTCTGCCACAGTGCATGGATAGAGGCCAACACCAAATCCAGGCCACGTTCATGGGCAGGGTATTTAGACTCCATCTCTTGAAGAAAAATGGGTCAAAGAATTTGTAAACGCATATCAAAATGTCCCACACACAGGAATAAAGTTTGCTACTGCTCTGACTGGTGCTTCACTTCTGACACCTGCTGTTTGTGAGGGTGGGAGGAGTGAGGAGGTGGGGAACGCGGTGCTGTTGTTGACAGTGCTGATGGTGAGTACAGTCTAGGGCACACAGCAGCTGGCTGCCTGCAGGGAGGTTACTGGATGGCCACAGCCACAGCCCCATTTGCAACTTTGGGATTTTATGTCGTATTTGTGTACTCTGACAGTGGTTGCTGGGAATTCGCTTGGCAATTAGCCTAAAGCAAAATAAGCTATCAGATGGGATTTCACATTTAAGTGTTTTTGACAATGTAAACTTTTTAGCTTCTGTCACCCTCTTTGCTCTTAGAGTTCACATGCAACAAACTGAGTTTGTATTAAAAAAATGAAAGAAAAATCTCAATTAGCTTCACATACTCATTGATAAGTACTTCCCCCCGAGAAGTTCATTCCTCACAAATAAACAGCAGTGCTAGTGCCTGCTGATTAAACTGTTCCTAGTTCAGCCACAGAAATAAGTATTCCGTTGCATGTACAATTTCCAAGCACCTGCCCCCTGAGCACGTTTGGGAATCAGGGCTGTAGGAGCAGGGGTGGGAAGCAATTGACTCCCACTTTTAAAAATTTTTCTTATTTCAAGGGCTGGGAGAACCTCTAGTATACTGGTGTACTTCCTAGGTGCCATGATATCCAGCAGCCAGGGCCTTCATCCGGGTCTCCCATGTGGGTGACAGCTAACCAAGACCTGAGCCATCACCTGCTGCCTCCTGGGGTGTGCACAGGCAGGACTCAGGTCCAAGCACTCTGGGGTGGAATGGGAGAGTCCCACCCAGGGACTTGATTCTGATTTCCATTTATAGCTCTGCCTTTTTGATTTCTGCCTCACCACTGGCCAAAGCTCTACTGAGTAACAACTCTAATGAAAGGAGGAGTGGGGCAATTAAAGGGAATTACCACACATGAAGATTCAGTTGTATGGGCTGTGCACTGCACAATCCTGGACACCAATCCCATTTGGAGTCTTCATATTAGTATGTTTAAGATGAGGATTTTTCTGGAAGAATGTAGTAAAAGGTCAAGACAAGAGACTAATTTTTCTAATTCACACAAGGTGTCATCTGGATTAGAGTGGGGTTGATTGGAACACAAGGCTGCATGGTCAGTAGCTTTTCCCACAGCCCAAGGGAATGAGTCTCTCAGTAACAGTGCTGCTCCTTCCTCCCCAAGCTTGTGATTGTGTAGGACTGCTGGCTACAGGATGGCACAGGGGTGGGCATGTACTCCCTGGCACACAGGTGGGCATGCCACTCATGTCTGACACACCTCCTGGCCACCCCAGTGGATAGTCCTATAGCTGAGCTCGTGACTCCAACAGGGCCAATCACAGTCCTTGCCCAGGACTTTACCTGCACCACGGACAAAGCACCGAAGGCCTCTCTCTGCCTGGGAACTCTTGAGTGTGTCTGAAGTCACTGGTGAGTTTGAGGGTACTGGGGCTGGGACTCCCCACCCCTTGGGGGATGAATGGAGGGAAACAGGTACCGCCAGGGATGGAGACAGATACAGAGACAGACAGACAGGCAGACAAAGGAGCCTGAAGCTGGCTGACTGGTCTGCTCCATTGCTGTCTGATTCCAGAGCCAGAATGACTCCCCCTTTACCCTTAGGCTAGTTCTAAAGGACCTACATTTGCTCACAAACTCTGAACTAGAATCACCTCTCAGAAAATCCCAATGTAAACCACAGGAAATCCACTTTGTCTTGATCCCATCCCCATCCCTCTATCCCTCCCACCCTCTCACCAGCACCCTCCCACCTGGGTGGTCAGTGGATTCTGAGCTGTTTTGTTGTGATTTCCCAGGAGCCTGATGCTGGTTCACGGTGGTGTCCTGATTCTAGGGGCCTGAGAGAGGAGGGCTCCTGACATCATTCTGTAATGCCATGGCAGTGGGAGTGGCAGGGGGCAGATCCTGACACATGCTGGGGTGTGCACCGGATCTGTGCATCCCTCAGGGGCTCCCATGTTGACATTCAGTCTGCATCTGAAGGGAGGGGGGGCACAGAAACCTGAATCTCCTGAGGTGTCCACAGCTGGGGACTCGGGTGGGGACCAGGATTACACAGGTGGCTTTATAAGGATACAGAGAGGGAGAGGGGTGGGGGGAAAGAGACGAATCAGAGGAGACACAAATGTGCATTCTCTGTCCCTTGTCACAAGATGCCTTGCTCTACCTCTTGTAAAGGAGACTGGCCTGGCAGTTAGTGCTACAGGTGTAAAGCCACTGCTTGTGACACCACCACTTTACATTGAAGTACTGTTCTGATTTTGGGGTGCTGCATCTCTGATTATGCACGGGGAAAACAACAGATGTTGCCATCTACATGAGAGACCCGCACAAGTTCACAACTCCTGCCTTCTGCCTGGTCCTTGCCTGGCTTTTATGGCTATGTAGGGAGTGAACCAGCAGACAGAAGATCTATCTGTTCCATGCTCTATTGCTCTACCTTTGTTTTGTTTTGTTTTTATTGAAATTAAAGATGTATTGCTTTGAAAGGCAAAGTGACAGAGAAAGAAACTTCCCAAATAGTTGCAATGATCAGGCCACAGCCAGGAGCCAGGTGCTTCATCCAGGTCTCCCACAAGGATGGTAGCGGCCCAGATACTTGGGCCATCTTCAGTTGTTTTCCCAGGCCACCATCAGGGAGCTGGATTGGAAGTGGAACAAATGGAACAACATGAACTGGTGTCCTTATGAGATTCGCAGGAGGTGACTTCACCTGCTACACCACAATGCTGGCTCCTATTGTTCTGCCTTCCATAAGTAAATAAATATTCATAAATATTCTTGGGGGCCAGAACTGTGGCTCAACAGGCTGGTCCTCTGCTTTGCAGCACCAGCATCCCAGATGGGTGCCAGTTTGCATCCCAGATGCTTCAGTTTTGATCCATCTTCCTGCTTATGGCTTAGGAAAGCAGCAGACGTTGGCCCAAGGACTTGAGCCACTGCACCCACATGGGAGACCTGAAGAGCTACTGGCTCCTGGCTTTGGATTGGCTCAGCTCTGGCCATTGCAGCCATTTGGGGAGTGAGTCAGCAGATGGGAATCACTGTCTCTCCTTTCCTTTTTAAAATGTGCTTTAAAAATAATAACACAAGTATTAATAGCACAAAATTAAAATAATCCTTAAACAATTTCTTAGAAAGAATGTGTTTGCTTTTGATCCGAGGAGAGACAATAATCCACTTTCCAGTCCCATGGTTTTTTAATGCGCGCACAAGATTTTGAGTGGGTTGGCCTTAACCATTTCCCTACTATTGCACATCAAGTAATGTGCTGGTTTTTAACTCCTAAAAATAATATACATGATGAACATGTTTGAATTGTTTTCCATGATCAGCCTATTCCTAGAAATAGACTCGCCTAAGTTACAGGAAGGACACTGTTTTGGGGCACTAAATTTTGGTCCTAATTGTCCTGAGATACTTAAAAAGAACAACGCAAAACAAAGTCCAAAGCTACAAACAGCAGATTCCACTGAGGGGGAGAAAAATGGAAGAAAAGTAGGTGTGGAGGGAAATTGCAGCAGGCAGGGCTGGGGCTGTGAAGGCGCCTCCTGCGCGGCTTGGCCCAGTGCTGAATCTTCCATAAACAGCATGGCTTAGGCAGATAAGTGTTTAGTTTCCTTTCTTCAAATGACAAACGGCTTCAATTTCCTGTGACAAAGAACACTGACTACCTGAGACAAATGATTTTTAGCCTGAGCTTTGTTTTCCAAGATACTAGAGTTCAAGGCATAGGGTGGGGTTCCTACCATCACTGCCACGGAGTCTGTGCCTGCCCTCTTCCTTCTTGGGGTCCACTGAGGAGGCGAGAGGGAGTGAAGATGCGATGTTGTCTCCACAGACTACTACGACGCAGAGAGCCTACCCTGAGGGGTGACCCTCGCCCAGGGCCTCGCCAGTGCCTTTGTCTCGAACTGCTGTCTCATGTCCTGTCTGCCAGCTCTGTGCCCTTAGCTGGGGACCCTTTCTACCCCTCGGCTTCCATGACCTTCCATGACCTTCCATGTCCCCAGCCTCAGCTCCTAGCCCCCAACGTCTGGCATCAGAGCTCCTAGAGCCCTGCCTAAGCCTGGCAGCTGAGGCTGCCCAGCTCTGCCCTCCTGCTGCCTACCTGAGCAGGGAAGGCCTGGCGACCAGAACGCTGGCTCCCTCAGCCTGGGATGACAGGAGCTGGGATTGAGATGTCTCCTTTTGTTATAATCATGATGTGTGGTGATTGCTTCTGTTACCCCAGGCCCTTAAGGAGCCCCATTAGAAATACAGCAGTGTAGGACTAAGGGTGCGGTGCCAGGTGGACAGGCCCCTGAAGTCAAGCGGTTCCCTTGTGCCCCCTAACTGCAGGATCAGAGCAGGGTTCCTTCTCCAGTGGGCAGTGGCTGAGATCCCACATTTTGGGAAGGGGGTGTGTATTGTTCCTCTCTGCCTCAGTGAGCCACGGGGAATTTCCGACCTTCCTTAAATAAGAATTGGGCACTCAGGGACAAGCTTGGGAGGGCGGCATCTTGGGGCCTTTCCCAGTCTGTCAGGGGCTGCCATGCAACATGGGATGGTAGAGGCTCTGGAAGGCCCCTGTGAAGGAGGAGGTGCTGAGGGAAACCCTTCGGGAGAGTTCCCTGCCTCTGGGTTCCCCTTCCCAGCTGCTGAGAGTTTCCCTGGGGCCAGACATGGAGGGCACAGGGTTGAGGCCAGGTGTTTGTATTCAGGTTAGAACAGGAAATGTCCTCAACTCCTCTGCTGCTGGGCACTGTCCTTCAGCCAGAGCTGGCCCCTATCCCGAAGGAGGCATGCCGAGCTCCAATGGCTGCTTTGGTGCGGCCTCATGCCACTCACGCAGACTGTGCTCGAAAGGCCCGGGGCAGCCTCTTCCAAGCAGCTCGCACCCCATAGGTGCCTGTGCGCTTCTGACGCCAGTGCTGGCCAAAGGCAAAGCAGAGCAGGACAGCTGTCACGAACAACAACAGAAGCACTGACACAACCGTGATGATGATGATCATATCCGTGTCCTGCGGGGGCACTGGGGATGGAAGGACAGTGTCTTAGGAGAGCTGTGGTGGCAGGAGCCAGGACCCCAGGACGTCCACCCATCATCACCTATGACCCGCTCACTCATCCTGTAGCCATCTGCCTTGCAGAGAAGAATGACACATGGCATCTGCTCCCAAGGTATTAGCTAGGACCAGCCAGACCTCTGCAAGTCTAGGAGATGCTCCCTGTTGGCAGCCCCTGGAACACTAGCATGGCTTATGCCAAGTTCCTTCTTGGACCAAGCCCCTTCTTGGGCAGTGATGAGTGAGCTCTGCAGCCAGCTTCCTGCTCTCCAGACTCCCAGAACAGCAGAGCTCCAGGGGCTGCTGGGCAGCTAGATGGCCCTTGCCAATTTAGTGCAAGGCCAAGACCAGAGACAGCAGGCTGACTTGGTGGCAGGGGAGCTGGGGGTATCAAACAACTCACTATTGACCAAGTGGCGCTCTGTCAACCTCTGGAACCCTCTGGATTAGGTGTGGGGCCCTAAGTGCTTGTATCCCATGCTAGTAAAGAAAAACATTCTGCTTTTTTTCTCCCCCGTAAGAGGCTGAAAGTGAGTTGCTCCATCCCTAACGCCACTGTCCCTGGGCCCTCTCACCATAGATCTCCAGTCCCTGGGGCTCCGAGACCCAGTGAAAAATGCCCCCACCACGAGAGCGCAGGTCCAGCTTGGCCAGGCAGGAGAAGTTGTGCTGGCCATCCTCTCGGTCAGCTGTTCCGTTGAATGTGACTGTGGCCTCCTGGGGGACAGCCGCTGTCCCTTCAAAGGTCTTGCTGTGCAGTGTCTTGTTGCCTCGGAGCAGGGTGAGGGTGAGGCTCTCCAGGGGCTCTACAGTAGGCGCCCTGCACTCAATAGTGAAGGAACTGCCCACGGCTACCCACGTGGGCTGTAGCTTCAGCACAACCTGTTCTGGAGGCTCTATAGGGGACAAGGGAAGGAAGGTTGGTCAGGATGGGGTGCTGTCCCAGAGAACCTTAGAAGGGAGTGCTCAATGAGATTATGCCAAGGACTGCAAAGTCCCTCACTTAGAAGGTGTGGGCTGGGATTGGACCCACATGCTCCTCCAGGATCAGGTTCATACCACCATGGTTTCTTCATTATTAAGTGGGGCCCATGCTGGCACCCTTTGAACTGGCAAAGCACACCTCCTCAAATCCCTAGCCCCAGGATCACCTGAGATTTGGGATACCTGTTTATTTCACACAAGGTATTGATGAAGGGGAAGATGTAGCCATGCCCCCTTGGAGCCATGATGTTGGGAGAACCCAGGCCCTTGTGTATGGCTTTCACTGGTTCCTGAAAAGTTTGTGTCTGATGGCCACTTCTTTGCCATCAGCCTATGGCAGGGGAAGAGACAAAATCAGGGAACACCTCTGCCCTTTCTTCTGCAGTGAAGGGGCCACTAGGGAGCATGCCCAGCTCTCCTGATGACAGCCCAGTTCTCGTCATGGACAATGGGGTGCTCTGTGAGCACTTAGGTTTGAGCGGGGAGGGGTGGTGATGGTGGTGGGGGCAGATATGGACATTGCCTTGGGAAACGACTTTGGGTTGGATCCCTGTGAACTTCAGCTCAGGTGCCCTCCTGGGCGTGAGACTCAAGACCTGGGCAGCCTGCTGTTGTGATGGCAGTGGCTGAATACGTCTGAGCAAAGGGGCAGCCATGAATCCTGAACAATTGCCTGGGCCCTACTCCTTATCCTCCCAGGGTTCAGGGAAGTGGGGGTGTGATGAGTGAACCCTGGAGATGTGTGCACGTCAGCACAGCCAGGCCCTGTGGAGAGAGGGGCACCAGGGCATAGACACTCACGATATACAACGACACTGAGCTTGCTTGACAGCTGCTTCCCAGCACAAGTGTAGTGACAGTAGAGGACCGTGTCCTCGGAGATGTTGGAGATCAAGTACCGCTGCCACTGACGCTCTGATTCCAGCAGGGTCTTTTTCAGGGTGGTCTCTATTCCCCCTTTCTCTGGTTGCGTACAGCTGGTGCTGCAGTTGACTTCCCACGACTCTGTGGGTTTGACCACCAGCCTCTCTGGCCACATGTGCACTTCGAATGTCTTCTCACCAGACCCTGGAAAACCAGACACACACTCACTGTTCTGCCAGGGGTCTGTCCATTGATGGCATTTGGGATCAAATTCAGCTCAGGCATTCCATGTTCTCTGATCCCTTCTCTGGGTCAGGCCCGCAGCCTCACAGTGAGACCCAGGAGGCTGCCTCCCTGGGCCCTCCCTCCCTCTGAATGAGGCTTCCTCCAGCTGGCCAGGCCCATCAGCTCCTGGTCAGTCTTCCTCCTAGTCATCTTCATCTCCAGGGCAGGAATCTGACTCCTGAATATTCAAGATCCAGCTGGAATATCACCTCCTCCCTGAAGGCCTACCTGAGGTTTAGCATGAACTCTGTATCTTTGGGCTCCTGTAACTCTGCAACTTCCTCCCTCCCTGCTTCCCTTTCTTCCCCAAACACTCTGGGACACTTGTGCCAGGCACTATGTCCTGGGGAGCCAGCAGGGCTGGGGGCAGGCAGCAGTGAATAAACCAGGAAGCCGATCCAATCCTGCTCTTGTGGGCACACATTCCAGCAGAGGGGACTGTCACAAACAGCAGCAAGTAGATTGTTCAACCTGTCGTGTTGGGGACACATTCCTGAGGAGGCCTCTCCTGTATGGTGACATCTGGGCACATATAGGAAGCAGCTGGCAAGTCCTGCAGTGCTCCAGGGGAGGAAGACTGTGATTGTGCAGACCCTGGGCTGAGTTGGCCCGGTGTGCTTGGGGCAAGGAGATCAGGCCAGTGAGATCTCAGTGTGGGGGACCAGTGGGGTATTACGGCCCAGAAAGCTGACCCGGTAGATTCCTACTTCTTAGCCATTTTGATTCCAGAAAAGAAGGGCCAGGCTTTGCACATCCTTCTTTGTGCTCTGCACATGCAGGAAGTACTGCTACATGAAGACTGAGGCCTGATGCCCATCTCCATCAGTTCATCTCTTCCAGTTAGGAAGGCACCGGGTCCCAACCTGTGTCCTGAGCCCCCACCCCCTTGCTTGTCCCCACACAGCCTTCAGCTTATGGCATACAAGGAAGTGACAGGCCAGGGGCGTTACAGGCAGATAACACTGGAATTGAATCCAGAGTTGGTCATGTACTGGCCATGTGGCCTCCAACAAGGTGCTTTCTTCTGAGCCCTGGTTTCCTCATGGCAAATGGGCTGGTATGCCTTTGCCTCAGGGCTGGCATGAGGGTTCAAGGACATAGCCTGCTGGGTGTCTGAGACAAGGCGCAGGGTGCTCAGCACTGGGTGGTGTCTTCTTTCACAGACTCCTGGCACAATGAAGGTTTCATTTTCACTCTGTCCTCAGGCAGAAGCTGGTGCCTCTACTGCCCTCTGTTGTCCCTGAGGTACCCCTCTAAGGAGTAGATGGGTGCGTGGACTCATCTTCCCTTGAGCCCCTCATTCCTGCAGCCTCCTAGGCCCCACTCAGCTACGTTGCAGCCTGCATGACCTCATCTTTCCCAAGAAATAGCATTGCGGGGTCTGTTCCACTTGGTATCAACAAAGCCTATGGGGACTGGAAGCCAGGCCAGCACGGAATCCTGTACCCGTGCCGAGGTGTCCCCATCTTCACAGCCCCGGCAATGGTGGGGCTAGGACCCCCTCCCCCACTAAGCCAGGGAAGCAGGGCATCCTATGTCCCAGGCTGGCACATGCCAGGTCACGATCTTGAGTGCTCCGGCTCACCTGAGCAGCAGATCAGGGCGAGGAGGGCTGTAGGCAGGCCCCAGCAACCAAAAGAAGTCATCTCGGATGGTGTCTGTGGGCTTCCAGGGAACAGCTGAGAGCTGCCTGGAGGGAGACGGAGGGCACAGGTCAGGGAGTGGCGGTCTGGAGCCGCAGTCTGAAATCCCCGTCTACTGGGTCCTGATGACTGCATTTCCTCTCATTATCTGAGCAGCCTTTGGGAAGCCACGTGCATTGGCCAGCTCCAGGGCTCTGTGCCTCCAAGAATCCAATCAGAGGAAACTGGAAAGCAGTTGATAAGCAGGGACATAACCCAGTCTTCCCGCCTGCTCCCTGTGCAGGGGGCGGAGCAAGGAAAGGATACATATGTGTGGGCAAGCATGTGTTCACGTGTATGACACATGTACATGTTTGATTGTGGGGTGCTTTAATTACACAGATGACAATGAGACACCCAGGCTCCAGATCTGTTGACCCTCCATCCAGTGGAACACAATGTTCGGGCCCTCCAAGAAGGGAATAATCCAAGGTCAGGACACATAGTTAGCCAGCAAAGGGGCCTGGACTTTTCTAAGCAAACCGTGGCAGGAATTTGAGGTTCTCCTGCTAATGCCCAACTCATATCTGTGTAAATCATTACAACCTGCTCTGTTTTCAAACTTAGCCTGTGCCTGATTCAGCTGATTCAGGGCCAGTGTGAGCACAGAGCCTCAGGAAATGTATCCCATACAAGTCCCCAGCAGCTGGGGCACATAGGAACCTCACGGATTGACTGCAGCCAGGCGTATCCCCAGACCCCAGCCTCCACTTCCTGAGCCTGCCTGATGGTGTTCAGCCTTCTCCCTTGAGCAGGTAACATTTGTCCAGGAACACTGGAGCCCAAGCAGTTCCTGGCTGTGGCCAGGGAGAATTTTGCTGCTCCTATTAAGAGATCCTCACAGGCAGTGTACAGGTGAGAGAGGAATGTGGGTGGACGAGAGGGCTTCCAGGTGTCTTTTACTTTTCTTTCTCTCTTTTTTTAATGGAGAGAAAAAAGTAGAGAGAAGGTGGGGGTGGGAGTGCAGCTCCTATTTGATGGTTCATTCTGCAGGACTGAGCTGGGGCTGAAGTCAGGGGCTGGGAACTCAATCCAAGTCTCCCATGTGGGTGGCATTTGAACCATCACCACCGTCTCCAGGATCTGCATTGGTGGGAAGGCAGCTGGCATCAGGAGCCCATGCTGGATGCTGACCTAGGCTCCCTGATGTGGGAATGCAGACATCTTACTTCTAGACAGAATGCCTGCTCCCATGTGACTTTTGGTCATGGCACCCCCAACCTGCCAATTGCCCAGTTCTGCCTTAAATACCCTGGGGTCATGCAAGGGAGAAATGGGTTAGTTTATTTTCTCCAGGAAGCCCCAGATGGCTTTCAGGGCACAGCGCCCCTCCCTTCCTGAGTGGAAAAACAAAGATGAGGCCTTGCCCTTTCCTTGCTGCTGTGGACAAGGCTGTAGACAGCAAATGGTTGTAAGGACTGTCCTAATCAACCTACATTCAGGGAAGTTCTTGGGCTTTGGGGTGACTGATGCATGGAGGAAGCGGAGGGGTTGGGAACCCCCAGAAGAGGGTGGGACTGGAACACCAGCCAGAAGGGTCTGATCCCAGAGGTGCTGGCATGGTGCTGAGGGCAGGAAACACTCCTTCAACCTCAGCTTGAGGTGACGGGGTGGCTCCAGTGATTGGACAATAAAGTGAATGGCAGATGGGAGGTGCTTCAGTGGTACATACCCTGCAGCCTCCACTGAGCCCCCCAAATAACAACAACAATAATTTGTGAACATTTACTTACTACAAACCCAAGCACTCTACGGTGTTAACAATTGCAGCCTGTCCTTTTCCACATGGATTTAGTCCAACACTTCTAGGACCTACCTGCAACAGTGACAGTTCCAACCTGTTCTCACACACACACACAATGTACAACCACAATTTTCCCACACACTTTTACTTATGATAAAGTTCAATTTCTAAACGAGGCACAGTAAGAGATTAACAACCCCAGCTAGTAATAGACCAGCACAGTCATAATAATATACTGTAATAAACTCTGTGACTGTGGTCTCAGTCCCAACGTGGCAGGTAATGCAACAGCAAGGACACACTGGGCAAATGAATGAGGCTCACCTTGAGCAGGACACAGAACTCATGATAGTGGTCAGGATAACACAGTATTTGAAACTTACTTCTAGAATACTCCACCAGAATATCTAATTCTCTGTTGATAGCAGGTCACAAAAAAACAAAACTGCAGGTAACAGGACTTCTGTAGTTCCTCCTCTGACTCTGTCAGGTACAATGTTTAACTGTCCTCATCCTGTAGATGGGGAAACTGAGGGCACAGAGAGGCCATATACCCTCCCCAAAAGAGTGAAGTTGGGAATGTGACACTGGGAATGAGAGCCAGCCCTGGTGCTGACAAGGCCCTTAGGACAGGGCCAAAAAAAAAAAAAAAAAAAGAAAAGAAAAGATGGCTCAGGGTTGGACTCCCCAGAGACCCTCAGGAGGGAAACATGAGATAGCAGAGGGCAAAGGAATTTTCTGGGGCCTGGCTTCCATGAGGGCGTAGGGAGAGTTGCATTGAGCCATGCCTGAAGAGCTTCAGTCAGCTCAAAAGCAGCCTCAGTAGGGCTGGCCTGCAGCCTTCTCTAAAGGCGTTCAGGCAAATTTCTGTAGGCTTCCAGTCCAGCTCTAAATCCATCCACCCCAGCTCTTGCCCCACCATCTTTGTGACTTCTCCCAGTCTGGGCAGTCGGTCAACACTTTGTTAGAAATGCTAACTGCAATCTGACAGTTTACATATCATCCTCTCCCTGTCAACCCAGAAGCACAGAAACTGTCTTATACAGGCCACATCCACCTGGTCCTGGATGCTGGCAGGCACATAGTTGGCGCTTTATAACTGTTGGGTTGGTCGTGGATGGATGGATGAGTGAATGAATACAGGAATGGCTAGTGCTGTAAATAACCCAAACAAGCTGGGGTGAATGACTTTCCTTAGGTCTTAAGTACTCATAGCTCTGGTCTGCCAAGCATAGCTTTTTCCTTCAAGGGCTGAAGTCTTCCCACCACTCACCCCTATCCCTTGGACCACAAGACTGGACATAAAAGAAACCAATCATGGTTCGTGGATGCACACTGGGAGTTGGACCTGGGCACAGGACTTCCTGCAGCAGAGCTGGTAAAAAATGGCCCTTCCTTTTGGGGCCTGATACAAGTGCACACGCACAAGCAGCTGGGGAGGTAGGTCATGTAGTCAAGCAGAAAGGGAGCCAGAACTGTGTTAGGTGGAGGGGTGGCTGCAGGAGGGATGGATGGACTTGATGGGTGATGTGCTATGTTCAGTGGCTGGTGATGGCTGACCACTCAGCACCATAGCATCCCACTTAGACATGAAATCTACAAATGTGGATTGTAGAAAATGGAGATGTTTTCAGATGACAGAAAGCCCAGTTAGATAGGGGAGTAAATTCTAGAGACACATGATACAGCATGGAGATTAGAGCTAGCAGCACTGTACTGCATACTTGAAAATTGGTAAGAGAGTAGACTTTAAGTGTTCTCATCACACAGAGAAATGATACCTAGGTAACACATGTTAATTAGCCTGGTTTATCCATTCCCACATACTTCAAAACATTATGCATATGCAAATATACATAACACTTTATCAACTAAGAGATAGTATATGAGATGGAAAATGTGTGTAAAGAAAGAGGGATAGAATTAAGTAGAGGAGAGAGCAGGAAGTGCAGTGTTGCAGGGAAGACTGTCCAAAGATCTCTTGAGTTGATGGGAACAAAATGACTCACACAGGCATGACATCAACACAGAAAAAAAACCCTCAAGAAGGTAACTTGCAGCCAGAGCTGGTGAGATGGATAGCACCCTACCAAACAGACTCAGTCAAGACCTGGTGAGTCGCGAATCAACACAGGGAATGTGCCAGTGAGTCTTAGCTGACACATAAGAGATGGAGGAAGCCAGAAAAACTAGTGGGACTAAAAAACAGCTTGATGAGGAAACTTCAGGCATGGTCCCAAGGAACCGCTCCCATCGGAGGAAACGCCATTGGAGAATGGGTCATTGGGAAGTGAACAGCGCAGGTCACAGACACGTGGAGTGAGACCTGAGCCCACTCCTCCCACAGGGTACTCAAACTTCAGCCACCCAGAGCGACATCAGAATCCCCTGAAACAGGTGCAGGGGGTCCACAGGGTCAGAGGTTTCTCTCAGTGACCCAACAAAACAAGAGCAAACTCCGAAGACACACATAGGGTAGCATCATACCAATACCCAGCAGATTGTGGGGACACCCTGTGGTGGAGCTACAAATTCTGGGGTCAAACAAAGCCACACAACGCCCCTCCCCCCCACCTACCTTACCCACTGGAGGCTAGAGAAGGCAAGGTGCCCCACAGAATGTGGAGAACCTAGTTACTGACTGTACATTGTGTAGCAGTGGCTGGGTCACTCCTGCTCTAGGCAACTACACAGTGTGTAGAGGCTGTTTAGGCACCAGGCGACAGGGGGGCTGCACAGGGAACCAGAATTTATGGTATTTATAGTCTTTAGTTTGCAAACCCTTGCACCTGCCTGAGGCGGGAAAACACAAATGCTTAGGAGAGTGAAAGCACTGGTCACCCACAAGGTGGCAGTAGCTGACAAACACCCTGGTTGTCTGGCTGACTGGCCTCACAACCCACAGAGTAGCAGATACAGTGGTCCCAGAAACCGCCAACAGCACATCAAAGGCTAAAATTTCAAAATGACAAGAAAGCAAACAGTAATTATTCAGATGAAAGAGCCAGCACTCCCCCCAAAAGTGACGAAAAAATACCCTTAGTCTGAGTTGCAAGACAAAGACCTTGAGGAGCTACCAGATAAGGAATATAAAAAAAAAAAATCATGAAACTCCTCAGAGACAATGCGAAGTGTTGGAATTAGTTCAAGGAATTAAAAAATAACAATATCACAGAAATTAAGCAGGTCCAACACAAAATTTCGCAACTGAAAAACATGGTAGCAAGCTTGACCGACAGAATAAATGCTGCAGAAGAATTTCAG